GTCTTATTTTGCCTAGCCATGACATAGAGTGTAACATGGTGGTCCTCCCTTTCCCATTAATTACCTTCAATGCAGTAATCTCTGGAACAACAGAATAAATTCTAAGGGAATTTTGCAGTACATGCAGATCGTGAATGCACATAGACAAACAGAACTGTAATGTCAAAGCCAACATGGAAGCTGAAGGGAGGTAGAAAAGGAGTTGAGTGACATACTGTAAGGCTGGAGCTTTCTTTTGCTTTCATTTCTGTGAAAGCAAATACAATGGTACCTTGGGTTAAGTACTTAATTTGTTCCAGAGGTCCGTACTTAACCTGAAACTGTTCTTAACCTGAAGCACCACTTTAGCTAATGGGGCTTCCTGCTGCTGCCACGCCACCAGAGCCCAATTTATGTTCTCATCCTGAAGCAAAGTTCTTAACCTGAAGCACTATTTCTGGGTCAGTGGAGTCTGTATCCTGAAGCGTATGTAACCTGAAGCGTATGTAACCTGAAGCGTATGTAACTCGAGGTACCACTGTATCCAAATTAAATTCCCTGTACTAGTTAAATTGTTAGAGGGTATTCTTCCACCCCACCCCTTTCCCTAGAAAGCACCCAAACTGAAAGGTTCAGAGGTGGTTTCTTGTTGACAAAATGACCCACTTTGTCTTGAGCTGAACATAAACATCTCACATTGCTAAATAGCTTTGCAAATGTGGCAATGCATATTCTAGGAAGGGACAGAGGACCGCCATATGTTGTTGGACTCCACCTCTCACAATCCCTGACCAATTTGCCAAGCTGTCTGATGCCGATGGGAGCTGGAGTCGAACAACATCTAGAGGACTACAGGTTCCTTGTCCCCAACGAGAAAACTAACAATGGCTAGCGGTTGAAGTGCTACTGTTGAAATCTACTTGGCAATTGTATCATCTAGCCCTAGATATAGGGTGTGATTATCTAGTAGAGAGATAAAGGCATTGTGTGTGTATCAACAGAAGTGTTTCCTTTATATTACAAATTCACAGGTTCCAGGAATGAGTTTTTGGGGGAAACCATTACTCAGATTATTCTCCAGTAATGATTCACATTCTATTTCATTGCAGCAGATGTGAAACACATCTCCCTGTTCTTTGTGGAACAGAAACTACTGTTAATTTAACTCAGTAGCTCCCTGGTCTTCTGGGAAGAAATTCCAAGTTTCCAATTCATTTTCTCAAGCTTTTTCGTCATCTTAAAAAAAGAGGACTCTAGTGCCTCTGGAAGCTGTGGACATGCTACCAGATACAAGTTTACTTTTAAATAAGCTCAGCAAGTCTATTAGAGGCAGACAAAACAGAGTGAAGGATGAAACCTAATCAAACTGGGATGTGCTGCACTTTTTGGCGTCGTTGGCTATCATGCTATAGCAACCTTTATACTCATTAATGTTTTATTCATTATTTCATGGGCCTTCAGAAGGGATAGCCAATGGGCTCCTAGAGTAACAAAAAGTAACCAGACCCCACTGACCTGTTTAACCCCATATGTGAAGGAAGGAAGGGAGAAGAACAGCACCCTTTCCACAGAAAAGTGGTTCAGCTAGAGAAGTATTTCCCCCTTTGCTCTTGTCTTGCTTTTCTTTCCTTCTTTTTATTTGTATGAATAAGAATGTTTGTATAAAGGCATTAACTTGCTAAGATAATGTAGCAAGTTCTGATGAAGCATCCATACGTATACTGGACTCTATTTTAGAAACAGGTATGTTTTTTGTACTTCTAGCCCTTAATTAAAAATGTAATAAATTTGGACTAAAGTGATAGTGATGTGTGTAACTGGTCCTGTAGATGTTACCTTTGTGTTTCTTTTTAAATTATTTGTGCAGAGTATACTCAACAAAAAAATGATCAGAATAGGATGCTTATGTTTTTAATCTGTACAAATAGGGCCTAACATTATTTAGGTTTGATCCTTTTCTGTGTTAAAATGTAGAATAATGGATGTGGCCATTTACTGTGCTGGGCATTTCTCTTGCAACTGTTTTAAAGCTGAGATCCAATGCACATTTACTTGGAGATAAACGTCATTGAATTTAGTGTGACTTGCTTCTGAGAAAATGTGCAAAGGATCAGACTACGTGAGTATATAACACTGGATCTAGTCAACCTAAAGCCAAGAACCTTTAACTATATGTTTAGTTCCTGCTGAAATTTGAACTTGAGATTTCAATATTTATTTTGGCTGGATTGTGACCTCAAATTCTTGCTTTTACTCCTCTGAATAATTTGCATTAGTGTAGATAGCTAAACAATCTTTCTGTAAGTAGGTAAATGGGTTAACCAATCCTGCACATAGGTTGCTTAAACCAAAATAAAATTGTGTAAGATTGGTGCTGTGAAGCTCAATCCTATATAAATTTGATCAAATCAAATATCTTTAATACGGTCAATGACCAGCAAGAAGGAAGAAGACTGCCCACATAAATTACAGTTCCTCTACAGCACAAAAAAGTACAACAGCAATTCTAAGATACCATCGTACAATGGGAATAAATTTTATTCCTGCCACAATTAAACTATTTGCTGCAAAACCAACAGCACAAATACTATACTGCGCACCACTCGTCTCCCTCTCCAATCTAGACCCATACGAAAAGATACAATCAGGTTTCCGTAGATCACTCCTGCAAACACCTAAATGCGTCCCAAACGCCGCCCTACGACTGGAAGCGGGCTTATACAGCATCAAAACCAAAGTATGGATAAGAACCTTATGCACTTGGCTAAGACTTAACAACTCGCCGGTTGGACTACTTTCCCTGATGCTTCTTGACAAATTCCAATCTAGCTGGTTGAAGGGCACTCTCAGAAAATTGGCCACATATGGTCTCTCCCAGAGTATTTATAAATTTGATCATACATAAGTTCCACTGTATTCAATAAACCTTTAACCACATTAGTGTGCAGCATTACAGCTTGAACCTATGCATGCTTACTCATATATAAATATCACTGAGTTTAATGATGCTTCCTTTAAAGCAAGCAATTCATTGCACACTTATCTAGGAATAAGCCTAAATAGCTAAAATACAATTTACGTCTGATGCATAGAATTGTACCGTAGATGGTGCAGCTTTCAGGAGAACATACAGCAAATCTGCAAAATGGGTGACCTACCAAGGAAAGTGGAGCCCACCAACCTTTAATTATTGTGTACCTGGTGCTTGACAAAAGGTGTGTATAGGATTGTAGCTTTAGTGCCATGCAACACAATCCTCTGCCTGTTTATACTCAGAAGCAAATCCTATTGTATCCCTGGTAGTTGTGTTTAGGATTGCAGCTGTAATTACCTGTCTCTCATGCTTATAGTAGCATGTCATTTCCTACTAGCTTCAGAAATTTGAATTCTACTTTAAAGATAGTAAAATTAGCATTATGTAAGAGCATAAACTGTAGAATTGCATTTTAAATACAAATATGGGGAGTTTCATGCAGATGGCATTGTGAAGTTCACAAAAGCTGTTCTGTGTCACTTTTTTTGGTCTTGTCTTATTGCAGATGCTGTTCTCATCTGTTTTGTTGGGTGCAACACTAGTCCCCTTGAAACTATCATGTTAAACAAGTTGCAGACATATAATTCTTACTTAATAACATGCAATGCACCCAGCAACTTAATTATTAAGAGACCTGAAATGACCCCCTCAGGCCCTACAGGAAAATGCTACTGACATTATTTTAATTTAATAGGCATGATCTCTTGTGAAAGTTATTTCCTTTGGGTAAATAATACATCAATAAGCCACAAGTGTTATCCATTAATATGTTTATTTCAATAATGCAGAAAGATGTGATGAATTATAAAATAACATTTTATTTCCTAGTAGAAATGAAATTGTTGTTCTTAAAATTATTAGTTTACTGTGATCCTTATGTAAAATTTGTTGGTTTGTGGAGAAGGCAGATAGCATATGACCATGGTTTATTATCTGTATGCAATAAGGAAATGTCATCATTACAATCTGAATCTCTAGCAAAACAGGGCCAAGTAAATAATGTATGAATTGGTCCAGGATACTATTTCTAGATGAGCAGTTAAGAAGAAGAAAAAGGCTAAGCACCAGTTTTATTTGAAATGGAGTACAGTGCTTAGCACAGGTTGATTTCCATGTGGAAAAGAAAGTAGAATATGCTACCGGTAATTTATTGTGTTAGTCCAAACAGAATAAAATGAAACTAATGAGTCAATCCCAGGCTCTGTAGCAGTTTTTCTTAGGATTGCATCCTAGGATTCCAAACCAGTGTGATGCTACAATGAATGGCCTTGCACTGGCGCCATAAGCAGGTTGCAGTATCCACCACTGCTGTGCTAGCTTTTGCCCCCAACACCCAGTGTGGTACAACTATACTGCATAAGAGCCTTTATGATACACTGGTAGGCGTTGAGATGCAGGAAAAGGATATGGTCCGCTTTTACTCTGTGAGGAGGCTGGTACAACTGCATCTGAATTGACGGTCAGTACCGCCTCCAGCTTTTGGCAACCTTCAGCCAAAATGTCCTCACTAGGCTTCTTCTACTTCTCACCATAGATGTTTCTTGCTTGCTCATCCCCTCTGGGTCAGAGTGAGAGACAAGCAAAGGAACAGGCCACAATGTTGAAGAGGAGAGGCAGGTCTAGGGGTTTCTTGTTAGTGGGCTTCCTGCTGGGTTTTAGGCTTCAACAAGACAAACCTGCCCATGAAACGGGTTGAAGCAGCCACCTCAGGTGACAGAAGCCCCCAAGGAAGTGCCCCTGTAGGTGCCCCCATTTCCTCCACTGCTGGTAGAGAAGCTGTGCAGGCATCTGTGCCGATTTCCAACAAGATCTCACCAAAAATCGGTGGCAATGTGGGCGCCACTTCTCTACCAGTGGAGGTACGTGGTATGGAGGCAGTGTTGGCAGGCTGAGTCTTGACACTGGCCCTGTCAGGTAGCAGCAAGTCTTCTAATGAGGCTTCCCTTTCAGATGGGGAAAATCAGATACATCTGCCTCCCTTAGCAGTAGCAGAGTGAGGCCCTGTTCCCACCGCTGTGCATAGCTGGTTCAGTATGGGTTGACCCTGTGGTACATTTTAACAGTTTGGAGGTTCAGGTGAGAGAAGGACCTGCACTCTCGTGTCCATATCCCCCAACCAGGGCCAGCCTAGAACCATTTTGCCACTTGAGGCAACACAGAAAATGCCGCCCCCACTGCTTTGAGGTGACTGGAGGCAGCCCAGGGAAGCCACAGTGGGCGGCAGGGTCAGCGAAGGAGGAAGAGGCAGGGAAGGAGGAGGCAGCGGTAGGCAAAAAGCACAGGAGGCAGCAAGCAGTGTGCTCCTCCACAGAAGGAGGGAGGTTGATCTGGCACCCCTCCCAGCTTCTAGCATTTGTGCAATGTGAAATTAAATACACAGGTATCATTCTTCAAGTTTCTGGTGCGAAACAAACCTGGTCCCTCCTTGCAATGCATTGCTTTGCCGTCCCCCAGAAAACAATTCTGTGGCTGCCCATGCACATGATAAAGTTTTATACCACATGGTTGCTTGCTAATCAATATTAATGCAAACATGGTGAGTACGTTTTCTGTCACAAGTTCCCTCACGTGACCAGTGTGGTAAGGGTTTGGTCATACTACTAACTGATAAGTTTGTTGCCTGTAATTAATAGTAATCTGTGGAATGTGTTATTGCGTGAGGAAGGTATTCCCCTCACCCAAACTACAGAGTTTCATGGCTAGAGTGGCCTTTTAAGAAATGGCTTGTCTTCCCTTTTTTCCACCATGGTTTTCTGATCTTCAGAGTTCACGTTCAAGTTTTGTTTGTGCATTTTGAAACATTCAAATATCTGAAGCTTTTATGAGGTATTTTAAAATATTAGATGAAATTTTAGTGTGCTTGATGGTGTGTCTCTTAGTGAGAAACAATAGACGTTTCTTTGAAGTACTTTCCTGTGTGCCTTGTGCGACAAGGCGGCTTGGGCCGAGCATGTGTATAAATTGTCAATCTTTACTTTAAAGTGTAATGTGATGTGATAATTACATAGATCACAATCACAATGTAGGTAACTAAAGCATAAAACAAAATAAAAATGTTGACTTTACATCTCAAAATCATTAGGGGAATTTGCAGGCTTGTATTCAACGGTTAATAATAACACTAGACATGAGAACAGAACAACAATCCACTTCCCTAAACAAGGAACCAGGAAGTAGTGCTAAAACATTGAAGTAATGAATGGAGGGATAGGTAGGACTAGCATTTTCATTGCACAGCAACAGAAATAGTCACAAACTGGGTGTGGAGGAGCAGCAACCACATAATAGTTCAGTACCAGGCAAAATTCTCTGTATTAAAGGACTTTAGTACACATTTAGAAAATGGGCAGCTCCCTACATGGCAAATTGGTTGGCTATATTCATTCACTGTGGAGTGTGAAAAAGCATATGCAGGGTATTGGTGCATTTTTAATTTTCATATTTCTCTTGAGAAACTATCCTTGTGGGCATTCTTTCTTGCACATTAGATTTCTTGGAAATGCTTTAATAAGATGGCTGAACAAAGGCAGCGTGCTTTATCTACTTCGGGACAAGCACTCTACGAACTTCTGGGTCTTGAGAAGGGGGCATCCCATGAAGAAATCAAGAAATGTTACAGGTATTTATAAAACTTCCAGCATAATCTGATAGTCATTTCACCACCTTCCCCCCTCAACACACACATATTCACATACATTATTATCAACCATCTTTAATATCACAATGAATTTCCATAAATAGCTTCCTTTCGAACCCTTTCATGGACACAAAGTTTTCAAACTATTCTGTCTGTAGTTTTGTGGAATCTTGGGATGTTCAGCTTTGGAGCCTGCACATGCTTAAAATAGTTTTTTTCTATCTCTGATGCAACTTCTACACTGTAAAAACAGCTGAGCATTTTCCAGCCCCCACCCACAACAGATAATCACTGTAACCTCTACAGAGTTTGGATTTGATATCCCACTTTATCACTACCCGAAGGAGTCTCAAAGCGGCTAACATTCTCCTTTCCCTTCCTCCCCCACAACAAACACTCTGTGAGGTGAGTGGGGCTGAGAAACTTCAAAGAAGTGTGACTAGCCCAAGGTCACCCAGCAGCTGCATGTGGAGGAGCGAAGACGCAAACCCGGTTCACCAGATTACAAGTCTACTGCTCTTAACCGCTACACCACACTGGCTCTCTTTCACACACCCACAAATCTTGCAAACAATGTGAACAATTAACTTACCACTGTTAAGAGAAGGGTGATTATTGATAACATTTTCTAGGTTGCTTAATGGCACCACTGCAATAAAATATATAAATGAAATAAAGGCACAGCATCAACACAAGTGCTTAATAATAATAGTTTCCTAGCACATATATAAGCCAAGCTTAATTGCAGCTTCTGGATTTGTTACTTCCACTCACAACAAGGGAGAAGTGAAGCAAAAGCAATTGGGCAGTGTACAAATAAACCATGTTGGGTCAGCAAGATTATAGTGGCACGTGAACATGGCTCCTTATGTGTGTAGCAGGGGTAGCTAATGTGCCCTTCAGTTATTGTTGGTCAAGGCAGATGGGAATTGTAGTCGGAAACATCTGGAGGGCACTGTGTTATAATAAATAATGATGATGATGATGATGATGATGATGATGATGATGATGATGATAATAATAATAATAATATTTATACCCCGCCCTTCTGGCTGGGCTTCCCTAGCCACTCTGGGCGGCTCCCAATTGAACACCAATAACAATAATAAAAAAGCAACAACTTCAAACATAAAAACTTCCCTTAACAGGGCTGCCTTCAGATGTCTTCTAAAAGTCAGATAGTTGTGTATTTCTTTGATATCTGAAGGGAGGGTGTTCCACATGGTGGGCGCCACTACTGAGAAGGCCCTCTGCCTGGTTCCCTGTAGCTTCACTTCTCGCAGTGAGGCAACCGCCAGAAGGCTATCAGAGCTGGACCTCAGTGTCCGGGCCAGACGATGGGGGTGGAGATGCTCTCCTTCAGGTATACTGGGCCGAGGCTGTTTAGGGCTTTAAAGGTCAGCACCAACACTTTGAATTGTGCTCGGAAGCGTACTGGGAGCCAATGTAGGTCTTTCAGGACTGGTGTTATATGGTCTCAGTGGCCACTCCCAGTCACCAGTCTAGCTGCCGTATTCTGGATTAGTTGCAGTTTCCAGGTCATCTTCAAAGGTAGCCCCACGTAGAGCACATTGCAGTAGTCCAAGCAGGAGATAACCAGAGCATGTACCACTCTGGTGAGACAATCTGCGGGCAAGTAGGGTCTCAGCAGGCATACCAGATGGAGCTGGTAGACTTCTGCCCTGGACACAGAATTAACCTGCATGTTGGCTACTCCTGGTGTACAGCATTGCAACCCTTCCAAACTTTGACACTTACATAAGACATAGCCTGTCACTATGGCTGACCTTTTTAAATAAAACAGCAGGAGATGTGTTTTCTTTCTGCTTCTTCTGTGAATTGCTGCACTCTCTTGTTCCTTGAGCAGTTTTGTAAAAACTTTGTTCTCCGATAGTAAAATATCCTGAAGGCTTTCCTTGCTGGTCTCTGCAGTTACATATATAGGTAACCATACGGGTAACCATATTTGTGGACTCCTACTTTTTAGTCTTGATGTTGTTTTCACATTGGAGGGGCACAAAGTTTCTCTAATCCCTAAAGGAGAGAGTTGTCATGGAAGAATGCAAAGTGAATTGAATTTTATTTTGTGTTGTACATGAATAGTGATGATTTACATAGCAATCTATGGTAAAACTGACAGTGGTGTTTTATCCATCTTTATTAGCAATTACAGGTAAAAACAAAGACTGCCTCTGAATAAAGTGGAAATATCAAAGGGATTCACACTTAATGGAATAGTTGTAAATACTTGCAAGACAAAATGATGAGTCAGACACTTGGATTTCATTTAATTGATCCTTTAACTTATGCTAATTTGATTCATGAATCTAAAAACCTGCTGCTGAACTAACCAGTTGGCAATGCACTATAATAATTCTATAATACCTGACTTCAAATTTCCTATTGTTATTAGTTAGCTTGGTTCTTGCCAGAACAAAGCCACCTATGTTATTTAAATGTCAAAACCGTGCTGCTCTTCCAAATGAAGAGTTAGCATTATTTTTCAGTGACAAACTTTGTTTAATAGGTTACTGTAGATTGCTGGGGCACATTGATATATCTGCAAGATCATCTTTTCCTATATATACTTCTCCAATCATGTGAAGTGGGTGACAGCTAGGAAAGGGCTGTCTAGGTGTTGGTACCCTGATTATGGGACAGTCTCTTCAGAGAGGTTCACTTGGCACCATATTTATGGTCTTTTCTGCATCACTTATTTCACAGCAGGGATGATGATGTCATCTTTTTGGGGACTATTTGCCAGTCTTCTACATGCCAAATAAATAAGCTTTTCTCAAAGAGAACCCTAATAAATAAAGAAGAAAGAGGTTAAAGTAGTGCATGCTGCCACTTTCATTGTGAAAATTTTTGAAATCCTTTTATTATGATCAAAATGTTGCAAAACAGTGAGGAAACTTCTGAGTTCCCAAAACATTTTCATCAGACTGGATGTTAAGCAAAATGGAAGCAAGGAATAAGAAAACAAACTGGCTTGGGACTGAAGTCATATGATATGTATTTGTCAAAAAATAATTTTTGTTGTATAGTCTAAGAAAGGGCATGGCTAAGGAGGCTTTCATGAAGAATACCTGCACTGCAGAATTTGCCACTACACCCACTACTGCAGAGAGGGGGGGGGAATTATTCATCAAAGCCTTTTAAAGCCATTTATCTTTTTAAAAATATAACCTCATTATATGATTTATGTTTGATTCTATATCTGTGCTATTAACTGTTTAGTACCTTTTCTGTCAGAAAGAACACATTTTCATTTTGCTTTTTATTGCATTTTTAATATTGTTGTGTGCAGAAAAAGTGACCTAAAGTAATATCTGAATTCAGCTCTCACATTTTAATTCTAAATAGGTGTACTTAGAAGTAAATCCTAATGGGTTGCAGCCAATGAAGCTATTGTACCCACAAAACGGTTTCCACTCCTTCAGTGGAACTTCCCCTTCCTTCTCCTCCCCATGGGCATAGCCAGGATTTTTGTTAGGTGGGCAGTCTTTTGTTGGGGGGAGAACCTCAGATTTGTATTGATTTGTATTGATTTGGGGGGGCACCTGCCCCCCCAGCTATGCCCATGCGCCTCCCTCTCCCAAATATGTTGTAGGAGTTCTTTCAACCCTTCAGAAAGCCGGGGGAAAGAGGAAGAAGAAATTCCGTTGCATGACCAGAAGTTGCTCCACTTTTGCAAATTCTGACAAATGTACATTCAGTTACGGTAACTGGTGTTTAGGACTGCAGACTAAACACCACTGATATTAATGGTTATCCATATTCATAACCATAATCACAGAATAACTCCAGGGAGGAAAAGTATAGTGTACACACCCTGGAAAAAGGTGTCTTGCAAATCTGGAAGTTCACTCTGTCCCACATCATCTTTACGGTCCTCGGACTCTTCACCAGGGTTAACAGATTAAAACAAGGGGCACTATCTAGAATAAAGGCCATATGTTTTATGGAATCATATGTAGCTCAGTGGAGTGGAGTCCTTAGATTTGACTACTTCTCCAAACTAGGATACTGAGTTGGTTCTTAGAGAAGTACGATCAATCACCAACACAATTGCTCAACTCCCTTCTAGTCAACACATCCTCACTGAATGGCTGAATAATTTTTCCATATTTAAGGCTATTTGAGGGGGGGGGGTGGAGAGATCAGGCCAGTGTCTCAGGTCAGTTCACCCTCTGCAGGGCTGAGGGTGCCTGAACATACAAGTCCTGCTCATATTTTCTTCCATCCAAGGGCTTACTTGGCAGGTATGTTCTGAGAGGATAAAGTTCCTGAAAGGGTGTATGTGGCTGATCTGTCTGGTTTCCTGACAGGTCTTTGTGTACTTCATGCCTAAAAACAAACTACATTCTGGATTTTGGGTGAGTTGGGGTGTGGGTGTCTCACAAGAACAAGGATCTAAGAAGTCAATCACTTCTACCGCCACCAGAGGGCACCTTCTAATTACTTGTTTACAAGAAGTCAAAAGGTAGATTAGCCTTCCAAAATCTTTTTTAAAAATGTCAACAGTACAACAAATCTTATATAAGAAGCCTTTTTTGTTTGTTCATAATGGGCTCCAATGATCTCTATATCCTGGTGCCACATGCAGGATCTTTCTATCCCATTGAATTCTGGCACAAGTTGTCAGAAATGTCCAAATGCCTTTGGAACAGTCAAATGCATGCATACATTCCAACATTACAAATACATGCATTTTGCAGATATTCACTATGTCTTCTGGTCAATTCTTCACTCATATTACTGAAATCTCTTTCCTAACATGTGCCACTTATCCTCTAAGGATTTTTAGACTTCATTTAGACTAACAATCTACCATTATCCGTTCATATGTGAATAACAGTTTTGACATAGTCGAGCTGCTTGGATCCGTGCCTAAAAAGTGTGGGTCAAGTGGCAAAGCGCTCAGACCCATGCTTTCTAGCATCGGAGAAGCAGAAGTGTGGACGAGCCCTTAATCTAGAATATGTAGCCTGCATGTCCTGCTCAGGAAAGAAATTTGCTTCCAAGTTTCTAATGTAATCTTTTTATCTTCATCTTTTCTTGCTGTTCATCAAAGTTTTCTTTATCATTTATTGCCTATTTAAGGAAGTTGGCCCTGAAATATCATCCTGACAAGAACCCCGATAACCCAGAGGCTGCAGAGAAGTTTAAAGAAATCAATAATGCTCATGCTATACTAACTGACGGCTCCAAAAGAAACATATATGACCAATATGGATCGTTAGGGCTTTACATCGCTGAACAATTTGGTGAAGAAAACGTCAATACATACTTCATGCTTTCGAGTTGGTGGGCAAAGGTTAGTACTTGAATGCAAAGGTGGTTCATCTTTGCTCAGAGTATTGACTCAGAGACACAGAACCTTTGGTTTTGTTTGGTCTATTCTTCCTATTGCAGCTTTCACAGAACCTGACAAGCTTTGCAGAGTTCTAGTAGGTAAGTCAATCTAAAACAGGTTTCAGTATCGGGCTTTGTTGAAATGGCTGGTGCATCTCAACTGTTTCAACAAGTATTATAAAAAGTATAATGAAGCACGCTTTCAGGAAAGTGCTTATTAAAGGATGTTTCCTTGTCCCTTTCATTTACTAATTAAATATGCTACATGCCACTTTTATCGCCTCGAGACATTAATTATATCTGAAGCTGGAGCTCCAGGTTAATTTTGACTTTCTTTTCAGTAATGACTAAATGAAAATGACTCATAGCTCAAAGTGAAAAGTCCTCTTGGTGTGACAACCAGCTAATAAGTTATTGCAGTACAAACTTAGCCCTATTCTGGGCTATATATGGCATAGATTATGTGGAAGCAATAGTAATACATAACACCATGTACGATTATGGCACACCTTGGGTGCCATGTGAAGGGACTGGAAATAGGAAGTTGAAGATGTGGGGAGCAAGAGGAACAGAACGGTACAAACTGAACTAAGGGAAATGAATCTTGCGTCTTGAATGACATCAAAGGCCTTACTCATTTGGTTTGTTATGTAATTGTAAGAATTTGGCATTTGTGGGTGTACATATCACAAACATTAGCATTTGAATTAGGGCATGACCAAACGCATTAGGCCTAAGGCATTAAAAATGTGCCAGATCTCACACCTAATGTGTTATTCTTGCAGCTATTTCTAGTTACAAAGTCTTTGGGCCAGAAGAAATTGTTAATTTAAATAGAACATAAGACACATGAGACTTGCCATTTTGCAGAAGAATGAGTTTTCAAATGAATATTATGTCATACATTTATTTTTACTTCCATGAGCTATCCTCACACTTTGGTTTTACCAGATTACTCTCATGAAGGGATTCCACCTTATGGGTCTCCCAATCTTTTATAGCCACATGATTGTTAGCTATTTGCATATAGAACTTTCCCCACCAATGAGAAGTGGTCATAGGGAGAGTTGCTGAATTTCTGCCTACTATTCAGCTATTAAAAATATAAAGTCTTTAAAAGGCATAAGTTCTAAATATAATCAGTTCCAGAACTGTCACAGCTGACACTTCTTTCTATTAGCACAAAAGGATTCACTTCTCCCTGTTTCCATTCTGGGTATTTGTTGTTTAATATGGGTGGTATTCAGCTAAGGAGAGTAAACCCATTGAAATTAATGGACAGAACTTAGCCATGTTAATTAATTTCAGTGGGTCTTCTCTGAGTAAACCTAAGTTGAATAATACCTTAATGGGCCAGATTCAGCTACCCTGGTCTGCTAGCACAACATGGCTCCCCCTCCCCCCACCCCAATCCATTCTGGAGTATTGGGAGAATCTGCAAAACAGCACATGGGAGGAGAGGAGAGATTGTTCCATCAAGCAAGCAGAAATGCTTGCACTGATAGAACAATCTCCTTAACACTATGTTGAATTCCACCTTGTATCTTTGTTCATAAATGTGTTTTTTATAAATAAAAAAACTTGTACATAAATAATAAAGCAATAATAAACCATTGTGGTTATTTTCTCCATAGCTCCATGAGATCCTGCCACACGGTGCTAAAATTTCATCTAGTCTAGCATTTTGTTTTCCACAGTAAAGACAGGTGTTTAGCCAAAAAGAAGCATAAAAAGAAGCTTTCAAATAACATAAGTATCCAAGCCAGTCATCAGTTTACATGCCTAGGTTAGAGTCCAGTGTATCTTGTCTTGTTTTATCCTCATTTGGGACATGCGCTTGTCTTAGTCAATTGGCCAAAATCAATTCAATTGGCCAAAATCTTTTTTTTTTTTTAAATGACCTACTAACTCTATATTCAAATATGTCACAAATTACTCACATAAATATGGGTGGAGGGCATGGTCAAGGGCTTCATCAGCCTAGGGCCTAGTCATTAGTACCGTCTGTGGACTTATTTACAAGGCTACTCTAGACCAAACACCGGGCATTTGCACAAGACAGGTGAACAACCATGTGAAACACAGTTGTGGGCATTAGGTTCCCATTCCTATATCTGAACACATTTCCCTTCCTCTTTTCCGCTTCCTCTAAGGGCCTGTTTGCAATCTGTGGCCTGTTGACCGGATGTTACTTTTGCTGTTGCTTGTGCTGCTGTTTCAACTGCTGCTGTGGAAAGTGCAAGCCTAAGGCACCAGAAGAAGATCAAGAATTCTGCTTGTCTCCAGAGGATCTAGAAGAGCAAATTAAGACAGACATGGAAAGAGGTGCTTATTATTATGGGGATGTAGATATACTATTTAACAACGAAAACAACAAAAACACTGTTATTTTCTCAAATACATACCCTGGGGTTTCACTCCAGCTGTTTAGCTTTGGTGGTGTTAATTTGAGAAAGGATACTAACTTGAAGGAAGTGTTAATTGAATTCCTCTCAACCTGCTGTACAGGTTACTTTAAGTGCCCAGTGGTGTGCGGCTGCTTGTTAATGTCACTGTTAATCTCTGTGGGTGTTTGTCCCTCTTTTCAAACTAAACATCTTGAGGATGTTAATTTCTTCAGGCATAGGTTGCAGCACTGCCTTTGTGACTTTTTCACTGCAACCTGGTATAACCTTTTTTCTTAAGAGAGTTACTGTGCCTTGGTTGATGAGAAGCAAAAGTTCAGCAGGTGCAGCTCCCCTACTCATGCTCGAAAAGCTGTACCTGTGGAATTTATTCCCCTCATGCACTTATAAAACATGATGTTTCTGACAGGCAAAAAGCTGAATACAGAGACTCTGGTTTTCTCAATGTTTGGAAGCAAGGAGCTTTGCTGTAATGTATTGCTGTGGGGAGGCTGCTGAATTAGAGGGGAAACATTCACCCACCCCAGTTTGAGATGACATTTAACACTGCTCATTTTCAGTGCTTTTGTCTTACCAACAAGAGTGCTAAAAAATGAATGCCATAGAACCTGTTAGTTTCTAAAGTTCATGGAATATTTTTTGTAAGAATTGCTTTTGCTAGCTAAGGGGCAAATTGGATATTATAAAGAGGAAATGTGGGGGAGGGGGGTGAGTTCTCAAATCATTATTTCCCGTATAATACTAATATGCATGCTGGGGAAAGGTCATGTGTGAGGGACACTCCACAGGTAGGACCTATAGGGTTGTATTTAATGTTGTACACACATAGTTCTGCTGATGGAACAGGACTTATGTTTCCTCTCTTCCCCCTATGTGCCTTCAAAACTGTGCTGGAGGGTCCCCCAAACCCCTGGAGCTTATTTTGGGGTTACGCTGGAGGTGTGGAAGTGAACAGGAGAGGAAGAACTGTTGTGCAAGTGGAACTGCAATGTTGGATATTGACCGTATGCTTCCCCTGCAGGTGTCTCCTGTGCAGTTTTAAAAACTCCCCCCTCCCCCGGCCAGGCTCTAAAAACTGACATGAACCTGGCTAGGGCAGAGAAGGCCATTTGCAGGAGAGCTTGCAGAAAATGTTACAAAACACTGCTGCCTGTCCCCTGACGTACATGCCTCCTGGGTTCCCCATTATTTCAACAAACATGTTAGGACTACATTTTCACTGTCAGCGTCATGTTTCTGTTTTCACCATTATTCCATTGTGACTCAGCAGTCATGTTGCTGAGGGGAGTGAGAGCTCTTCTAGATAGCTATCCTAAAGCTGTCTCTTTTGAACTGAAAACATGCACAACAACTTAAAATCTAGCACCTGCCTGGGATATTACATATTACAGGAAGAACAGGCTGAAAGAACCTTAGTAAAAAAGAAAGAATGGGGCTGTGTGACAAAGATTCCCAAGGAGACTCTGAGCCTTTCATTTCTTCTGATAATATTGAAATGTATTTGCTGCAGCTTCACAACTATATGGGAGCTGCCCTTTCTGCATTTCAAGCAGCAGTTAAAAGCACAGAGACTTTTTCAAGAAAAAAGGAAGTGGAAACATCAACAGAAGGATGAATTAAATGACCACCAGAACTTTCACAGCATTGATTCTGAGATAATAAATTTGGAGAGGAGGGGGAAGACCCAAACACAAACATATTCAGATCTCAGGTTATTTACATAAACATGATGGAAATTACAGTGTTTCTTATTCCAGGACATCAGATTTGTCCACTCTTGTCTACATCTGAACATGTAATAGCAAACTATTCTGCTGTAAGGAAGGAGGTGTCATTTCAACTGAAACGGGAGTTTAAAGAAAATGAATTTTAACCAATACAGGCTGATGATGGCAGAAACAATGTACTTGATTGAAAATGGTGAACCCTTTGCAGGATGCTAAGAGATCTATCTCTTTACCATGGGATTTATTCCTGGGTGTGAGGACTGACCATTGCCAATTTGCATCTATGTTTTATTCATTTATGCAGAATTTCAATTGCCTAACACTGAAGCTGAGATAAAACAAATGTAGACCAGGTGGCAATTTTAATTTATGAGAAATTAAAACTTGAATGTCCTCAGAATTCAAATTCAAATCTTTCTGAAATCTCAAGGATGAATTCCTTTAGGATAGGAATGTTCTCTACCATGAGATTCAGAAGACAGCTGTGACATATGTGTGGTCAAACCTTGCCCATCCTGGCAAGACAGCCAGAGGGGGACTGGCCAAATGGGCAAAGAAGCTGATTAATGCTTCCTTGAGAATGGGAACTGTACACTCTAGTTTGAAAACTGCAGTCCTTCATCTTCAGCTGAAGAAGCCTCCTCGAGATCTTACTGTATTGTACAATTACCAGCCAATATTCAATTTTCCAGTTTGGAGAAAATGCGCTTGAATGTGCGTTGTGGTGACACAACTCCAAGATTTCCTGTATAAAAATGATTGTCTTGAACCATTTCAGTCTAGCTTCTGTCCTGGTTTTGACAGTGGAATAACCTTTATTTCCCTAGTGGATATTCAATCTATGCCATGAAGTAGGGCCCTTCCAAACTGGTGTTTTATTGCAAGTGTATTCTGTAATATGTTTCTGGCACATTAGAGCATTAGCAGTGGGTTTATTCTGCTTCAGTTTGTTCTACAATGCTGCCCCAATGCTACGGCATTATTGCTGTCCAGAGGGGCCATAGCTCAAGAAAAGCAGGACAAAAACAAACCAGAACATTTGTAATATTAAAAACGACAGGATTTCAGCAGGAAGTTGTGGGACATGCACTGACTGAAAATGAAGCAGTGTGATTGCGCCACAACTTTTGCAGGTGCAAACAGCCTTGAAAATGAGATCGTGTGTGACTGCCCCAATAACATCATGAGCAGAAAGCATCATGGATGTACAATTAAAAGGATGTCTGCAGGGGCCCCTAGAGATGATGACTGTATCCCTGATGGTACTAGTGGACCTCTAAGTAACTTTTGGTACTATCAACCATAGTATCCTCCTGGCTCATGTTACTTGGTACAAGATTTTATAGTATAGTTGGTCCTTCAGGGAGAGTAGTGCTAGCGGACACCTGTCTGGCCTTTCATCGATGGTGTCCCTCAAGGTTTCATTTTGTCCTCTATGCTAATTATCATTTACATTCAAATTCAGGGAGGGGTCATGCCTGTCACTGATATGCAAATGGAGTATAGTACCATCTCCTTACTGTCTTGGTTGGGGAAAGCTGTGGAGGTTCTGAATTGTTGCTTGAAAGCAGTGATGCAGATTGCTTGTGGGTAAATAAATGGAAACTGAATTTGGACAATTGTACTTGGAGTGCTTCCAGACATAGGGCTCCTCATGCTACTAAATAATTGGTGTAAGTTACATGCTGGCTAGCTGTCTGTGGGACCATCTGGGAGAAGGGGGAGTACATGGAAACATCTGCAGGGATTAGGGCTTAACTGAGAGCTGGGAAGGAGTGGATCTTCCAGCTCCTAAATAAGTTTCCAGGCTCAGTGGCTTCATTCATCTAAACTCCAGCCTTTCTGAAATGGACTTCATTGTTGTCCCCTCACTTAATGTAAGAATTTAAGCAACTGCTTACTTCTCTCCCAATGGGACTTTAAGACGACTAACCTTGGTTGACTTGTGCCTATATATGATAGCTGTCATAGGTGGGCAAGTAGCCATTCCTGGCTGAAGGTCAGATTTCCATACCTTGGACAACAGATCAGAGAGACTGTTAATGCTTGATTTCTCCTTTGTTTTAGATGGGGAAACTCCAATTCTGCTTCAGCCGACAAATGCAACTGAGAAAACCCAGCTTATTGGAGACAGTCGTCGCAGCTACCACACCGATTCATAAACTAGAAGCCATTGGAGTCTGACGGTCTCCAAAGAAGTTACGGATTGTAAAGTACTGTTACAACATTTTCATATATGGCACTAGGACTGCTGCACTCCTGTGCACACTTAGGTGGAAACAAATCCCACTGAAGTCAGTTGAGACCAGCTTCTGAGAGAACACGCATAGGATAACACAGTAAGAGCTTATCTGAGCAAATCAGGTGTGTTTCTGTACATGTATGCAAGGAATATAAAGTGGCAAAGAGCCATTTTTAAAAAAATGAATATGCGTGCTAGAGATATCAGAGATATAGAAAGCTGTTCTAGTGTCATGTGTGAAAATGTCCCTAGTCTTCTGCATAATTGCACTTGATTTGTGCTTTAGACAGAGGTGAGTTGGACATAGTTTCTTCTTTAATCCTAGGAGTGTTAGAACTTACGGCTGGTCCACACTTCCATTTGCCCTGCTGCTTCCCCTGGGAAAACAAACAAACAAACAAAAGTGTGGACGAGCCCTTGGTAGACCTGTCAGATTCTTTCTGTAGTATAGGACTTCAACCATATGAGCCTTAGTGTACTCCCCCCCAACCCTAAAATCTTTTCAGAGCCATTGTATATTTTCCCCATCCTTTTAGTTACTGGAAAGAGGAACCATTGTTCCATTTGGTGAATATATGTATGTGTAAAGTGAGATGTAAGGCTTAAATGATCTTCTCATCCATGGAGGATCATTGTATGATTCTATCAGCTCCTTAGAAGAAGGACTAGGCGCCAATTCAAGTAATACATAAAACTGCTTTCAGGTCTGCTGGGGTTCAGTTCTAAGCAACAATTGTCTTTATTTAGTGTCCAGTTAGAGACTCCCAGTAGACACCGGCAACTGTAAATAGTTCAAAGATTGTCGTATTTCTCTTCACCAGATGAAAAGCCTGCTCTATATCCATGTTCTGGGCATGCATGGTCCATTGATGGATCAGCAGGCTACCTTTGAGCACAAGCCATCTTTACTGCAAAATAAATTGCAACTAGCAATCCATAGTTTTCAACCCTGTATTCACACTTGATGCATGCATGGCAAATGGGAAGTAACAGAATTTTCACACACACGCTGTGCTCACAAAAACATCCATACAGCTCAATCTGAAGTGTGTTTACTTAGAAGTTGAATGGTAGTTACTCCCAGATAAGTGCTCATAAGTACACAGCCCGATCCTCCTATTGTGTATAATCTATCAATTTCCATTTATCTTATGTATGTGAGCAGTCCCTGTCGTTGATGGTTTTGTTTTACCCTAGGACCTAATTAATTAATTAATTAATTGTGTCATGTTCCTTAAAGACCGAAAATCTCTATCTAGCCATTAGAATGTCATAACCTTCAGATAGCGAAAAGGACAAAAAAACAAAACAAAACAAAACCCAAGTTGCCCAGAGATAGTGAGAAACCTGGTAAAGAGGCCATTCCTGTAGCATCCTACTCCTTAGGGAATGGGACTGAACCAGCCCTGCTTCTATAACCTATAGGTAAGAATGCAAACAAGCACTGTTTAACTGTGAACTGATAGCTGAGATTTATTTTGCAATAGAAGAATATGTAGTTCAGTATACATACAGATGTGTCAGTTGCGCTGGACTGTGCACGCATGGAAGAAGAGCATAGAAGCAAGTGTTTCAGTTGATGAATGCAGACACAATCATGGCTACAACCTTGTGCACACTTACCTGAGAATTTACTTGTGAATTTGGTGAGACTGGCATCCAAGTAAAATTTGCACAGGATTAGGTTGGAAACTTGTTATTCATTTGAAGAATGGAAGGAATTCAGAGCAGGAAAAAAGCCAGAATACTACCTTGAGAACAAATATTGTGATATGCGTGGAGCAATTGTTACAGTTGCAGTCTTATCGTTTGTAAGAGGTCAAGAATAGGATGCATTTTCGATATTCTAAACTCAGTATTTGATATGTTAGTTATTTGGCAACATCATTCATCACATAGCTTGGCTTGTTTGTTAATCATCTGTGTTGATGTGTTCACTATTTCAGAAGCACATCAAGTGACTGGTAACAAATGAACCTTGCATAACTGGAAATATAAAACAAGTTGTCTCCATTACATCACTCTATACTTCTGAATTTGTTGCTGTACTCATTTCAGAATGTACTGTGTACACTGATGTTGACTTTTGCTGTCCAATATATAACATGAACAATAAAGATTGCAAGAGTTACACATGTACCAACTGTTCTTTCCCCCTGCTGTGAAACATATTAAATATACTTATAAACGTGAGTCTCTTCCTCTACCTGTTTCAGAACATTATCTTGTTTATGTTAATGACACTATTTGTCCTTGAGTTTCAAAGCATTTTTGAGTTCTTCATGCTTTCGACTGTTCAGTTCTCTGCTGCCTTTTGCATCCCTTCTCTCACAATCTATGATGTCTACTGCTGCCTCTTGTTATGCCCTTTCTCATTTAGACTCATATGGCCTCATTTGATTTCATATTCTTTGTTTTGCTGCTTCTCAGCCTTGGTTGTCTTCTTCCTTATATTATTTTTGTTCCTATGTTGGAACCAGTCAAGACCTCTGGTGCAAATCTTATTTTAAATTTAAGTCAATTTTAAATTTGCAGGCAAGGATGCATGAGGGGGTGTCCTCTCCCCAACTCTATAGAACCAAGCATATATTAGGTGCTTTACATAAGATACCAATTTGAAAAGAGGAATAACTGCCTAAAATATCCAAACTGCCAATTTTTAGAAGGTAGTTGCCAGAGCAACTTGTAAAATGAGGTAACCATGTGCAGCAATGAATTGCTCAAAATAGCTCCCAGTTTACAAACAGACTCAACCCTGTGCAAATTATGGCTGGTGAGAGGACAGTGGACTAGTGTTGTTGATTAAGGGGCAGCTACAAATCACTCACCTATAACAATTAACTTCTGTATTATTGGGAAAAGCAATGGACAACTTCAGAGCTTAGCTGAGCCCCAGGGGTTTCACATCTGGCTCAAACTGTATTCTCTCCTAAGGAACTTTTGTTTACGGTGCACCTTAGCTGCTTTCTCCCAAGGGCCAAACTAGGCAAGTAGTTCCCTTTACATAGCTGGTTTTTAAAATAAATGGCTAGTGTGCGTGAAGATCAGACCAGATGGGAACCCTTTGCCCTGACACAGCCCTAGTTGGAATTGGACACACACACCACACCTGCTGTTCACAATGGGAGGAACACTACCCAAGGGTGTCCACACCATGCCTAGACTAGTCCTAACGCAACCTTTTTCAACCCAGAAACTTCTAGACAATTCTGGACTACACTTCCCATCAGCCCCAGCCAACATTGTCAAGGATGATGAGAGCTGTAGTCCAAAATCTGCGGAGGACACCAGGTTAGGAAAGGCTGACCCATGGCCTGAAACTCAGAAGAGCTTTTTAACTCTGCCATCACCAGTCCAAGCAATTGGGGCAAACCTCTCCTCCATTTCCTTTCCACCCACATACATGGTCACATGAAGTTCATGAAAAGACTCATGAACATAGCTGTCAACTTTTCCCTTTTCTTGCGAGGAATCCTATTTGGAATAAGGGAATTTCCCTTTAAAAAAGGAAAACGTTGACAGCTATGCTCATGAATCATATGAAATGAAAAATGTCCTTTAAAAATCATTTTTAAGGAAGCAGCAAAACACCACATTTTTCCCCCAGTGCCTGTAAAAGCATGGAACGAAAAAACCCGATCCAACTTTATTTGGCGAAATAAAAACCTTTCTTCCCCCCAAGCCCACTTGTGCTTGTTTTATAACTCTGGCCTAAAGATAAACCAGTTTGACCAGAAATTTGAGTCTTAGCAATGGGGCGCCTGGCGCAATAAAATAAAATTCCACAAGCCACCTACTTGAGCTCTTAATTGATTTAAATAAATCGTTTTGGATTGGTGTTTTCATTTATACCACGTGGTTAACTGGGAGAGGGTGCGTGCGTGCTGGGACGAACCTGGAGTCCGTAGGTGGACATTTTTGCTTCCACCTACCACCTGTAAGCTCAGCGCTGAGGAAATCTGCTCTCTGCACAGGCTCAGAGGCATCATTGCTCACTACTGCGGGGCCTAGCTCTGCTTCGACTTAAACGTCGTTGGCAAGCGAGATCAATTTAAGATCCAACGCACTGAAACAACACGGCGACCATTGCTGCCGTTAACGCTATTTTCCTTCCCCAAAACTTACCCGTAAATCCGGTTCCGAGGAGCCATTGCATTTTGTTATAAAACAGTTAATCTGTGCGTGCGAGGAGGAAAAAAAACACGCCTCCTTCGAGCCGGAATCGAACCAGCGACCTAAGGATTTCAGTAGCCGAGCACTCCTACAGTCCTCCGCTCTACCAGCTGAGCTATCGAAGGGACTTGGCGAGTAGCTTGTCGGAGAAGCTAAAGAATGCATGCTAAAGTGGCTCGCTGTAAACCGAACTTAGGACTGCATGTAGGAAGCGCAAGGTGGCGCTGGAAGTCGCCAGGCGTGCACGAGTTGCAAAGGCTGGCGTTGCTCGCGGGTTTTGAATGCGTTCCCTGGCATCGTGCACTTGAAACTCCTGAGTGCTACCTACTGGGGTGGAGAGGGGTGAATCCTTGTGCGAATAGGGAAAGAGGAAATAGCCTATTATTACCCTGGGTGCACACAGGGAGTTAACAAACTAGGGGTGAAACGTGGACCGGAATCTGCCGAGAACCGGACTGTGGATGCAAAATAGAGGATTTATCATGTTTAAGTTTATATGCTTGGCGTTGTTTACAAAACCCCTCTTGCGGGCTGGGCCAGTGGCGCAATGGATAACGCGTCTGACTACGGATCAGAAGATTGTAGGTTCGACTCCTGCCTGGCTCGGTGGCGGCTCACTTTTGCGGCAACACTGAATGTATTTTAAGATGTTATAAAATACAGTATACTATGGCAAGGGAAAAGCCAGAGTTTGGTAGGCAGACTTGCCAAAACCTGTTCTCCATCCCCTGCACAATCTCCTCTAGATAAACGTGGATCTGAAGCGAGAAGACCACAAGATGGTAACTCAGTACATGATGCTCTTTAAGAAGCCAAAGAAGATGTAAATAATGAATTATAATGAAATATCCGCTAATACAATTTCGAAATTACTATAAGGGCATCATGGTTGCAAAAAGTGCATATTAACAAACAGCTTCAACCCTGACTTTAATTCATACAAGGAAAGCCAGGGGAAAGCCAGAAAATGTAAGGTATACAGGAACAATGGGTATATACACATAGCACATCAAAATGTAGGCAATTGTTTATGGCCCGTTGAATTCAGTGCATTTTATTCCCAGATAAACGTGTTTAAGATTGAAGCCTAAGAAGCCTAAAAGGTGATATTCAGTCTTCCACTATCTAAATTCGCACATACCTGTAACAGAGCACATCACATCTATAATAAAGACCCGGGATTTCTGAAGCAACCCCGATTAAACTCAATAAATCTGCAACCTTAAGAGTATTTAACAAGGTTTAAACATTTCAATGTTGAATTTAGAAAACAACATTAAAATGGACCACTGCGAGCCAGGCAGGAGTCGAACCTACAATCTTCTGATCCGTAGTCAGACGCGTTATCCATTGCGCCACTGGCCCCTCACTTTGGTGGGCTGTTTGCAAAAACATAAACCAGAATTTAGAGAATGTTAGCTGGATAACAGTGTTTTGGAAACCATGAACAAGCAAGGGTGTTATTCTTTATTTTGCAATGCATATGCACTTACTCATTCTGACAGGTACAACAACTTCAGGAGCAGGCGATATGCAACACAAAACAAAACGTGATCATTACGGTGGTGCGGACACCGCTCTGTTTAGCTAAAGCTCGTTTAGGACGAGCAAATAATAAAATTGGATCTGAGGATGAGACTGTACTCCTTGCATTTCTCTGCAGGGAGAACGAGAGATCAGTGCACGAGAAGGAATTCGCAAAGCACAGCTCCTCTACAATTACTCTGTGCGGCTGTTTGGAAAGTGCCAAGTTACATTTGTTATTACCCATTGTTCAAAAATGCACTCGTCTCCAGCCTACATTTGGGTGGATTACCAGGTTGTCTTGGAAAGCTCCGAACTAGGATAGCTTCCGTGCCCGTGTGTGGAGCTCGTGATGCATTCTGCGCATGCTCGAATGCAAAGTGCCTTCTTGCTACTGGCGGTTGTGTATCTCTCGGGAAAGGCGTGTGTACGTCCCTTCGATAGCTCAGCTGGTAGAGCGGAGGACTGTAGAGGAACTGCTTCTAAAGGAATCCTTAGGTCGCTGGTTCGATTCCGGCTCGAAGGAGATGTGTTTTTTGTGATTGACCTGGCTACCCGCCCTTTGTAATTCAAGAGCGTGGTGTATTATCTGAAGGATGTGGTCCATCCACCTCCCCCGCAAAAGGAGGGAGAAATAACGTGACTGATTGTTATATGTAATATCTTACACTTGGCAATGGTCATTCTGAAGCATAAAGTACTATATTTTCATACTGCAGAATAAATGTGCTGCTATCGTTCCTTTGGAATGAACATCATTATTCTGCTTTTTAAAAAAAAGATGAAGGAGGGGGAGAAAGATGGATTGGAGACTACTGTACAGCCAGGCTAATAAAATAGAATTGTTGATGTATAGTTGCTTTGCTTCCGAATATAGAATCAGCCCTTTAAGCAGCTGTTTTTACCACACCATCGATTTTTCATGGGTGACACTCTGGAATCTTTTTGTGGTACCCGCTTAGGCTTTCCAAGCAAATGATTCTTCTCACCTTTCCAGTTCCTTCTTATCCACATCCCAAGCATGTTTTATTAATTTCATTAATTGGTTTGTTTTTTAAGAGCATGTTTACTAGGGATGACACCAAATAAACCTTATTTCTGAGTAAACATGCGTATCATTGTACAAGTAATCCATTAAAACCGTATATGATTTGGTTATTCATACAAATCAGTCTTGATGAAGAGCACAGGGGGCAAAACCTTGCAAGGCCGAAGTGGAGTGACCTAGTGGAGTGGGGCCCCAAATGAGGCAGAAAGACCCTGGATAGGCGACAGGTTGAGGTTCACAAGGGGAATAAAGGTTTGCTTTTTGAGGCATTGTCTTTGTGATTTGTTTGTGTGCGTTTGAGGTCCTGTTGCTGTTCCCAGGGCCAGATTAAGACCTTAAGAGGCCCTAAGCACTTAAAAGATTTTGGTGACCCCATATATATCTAATTCAAAATAGAAACAATAATAAACCATAAAATAATTTTTTATTTTTGAAATGAAACAAAACATACAGTAAGATGGAAAATAATGCTTATTTTGTATACTTCCACTTTATTTATATTTGAAAAAAAAATTCCCTCCTTTTTCTAAATGCAAAGTCTTTGATAAGATCATCAAAACTAATATTAGGTGACACATCTGCTTCTATATCTAGTAGAGATAAAGCATCCAGCCTGCTTTGTTGCATGGTTGTTCAGTTGGGATTTTTATTATACCGGTACATCATCTGAGAAAAGGAGTGCTCAGCTGAGCAATTTGTGACCATTAATGTTCCAAATCTGGCAATGGAAAATTTCTGTCGTGCCCCCTCCTTCCCATGATGCCCTAAGCTTATTTTGCTTAATGGTGACTGTTCCTCTCTCAGATGGATGACCTACTCTGCATGTGAGAAAGAAATCTATGATTAATGGATGATGGATAAAAGGAAAATTCCACCCCCTGCAGAATTTAGCCACCCAAAATATTTACTTTTGAATTCCCAAATTGGCATGCAATAAACCTAGTACAGTGGTACCTCTGGTTGCGGACACGATCCGTTCCAGGGTGCCATTTGCACCCTGAAAAGTTCGTAACCAGAGTGGCGCTTCTGTGCATGTGTGAACCTCGCAGAACATGTGTGTGCGTGGCAAAACCTGGAAGTAAACATTTCCGGGTTTGCCGCGTTCTTAACCCGAAGAAATGCAACATGAAGCATTCGCAAGGAGAGGTATGACTGTATCTTGTCATCAACAGCACATTTCTATGCACGTCTACACAGGAGAAGGCCCCACTGTGTTCAGTGTGACTTTCATAGAATCATAGAATTGAAGAGTTGGAAGGGACAGCAAGGGTCATCTAGTCTAATCCCCTGCAATGCAGCAATCTCAACTAAAGCATCCAAGACAGATGGCTATGCAACCTCTACTTAAAAACCTCCAAGGAAGGAGAGTCCACAACCTCCTAAAGGAGACCATTCCATTGCCGAAAATCTCTTACTGTCAGAAAGATTTTCCTGATGTTGAGTCGGAATCTCCTTTCTTGTCCCAGTATATATAGGATTGTAGTCTACATCCACTTTGTCTCTTGAGTATGCAGATAGTAATATATTACACCCAGTGCTTTTTTTTCCTAAAAAAATGTTTAGGGGGTACTCTCATTTTGACTCAAGATAATCATCGTTTTATAGTTCAAATTGTGGAAAATAAATGCAGTAAAAGGATAAAAGTACAAAGATTCACAAAATGTTTAGGGGTATGCGTACCCCCAGAAAAAAAGCACTGATTATATCTGCATATAGGTTGACCTAACCCACAAAGGCACACACCTCCATTGTCCCCCAATGGCAGACGGATGCCAGCAATAACAGACATCTGTATGCACTGCAACGAGATTTCCTTTTCAGCATGCTTTATATAGGCTGAGCACTATAAACATGAGATTCTTGCAAAACGTACTTTACCAGCAGAGTTATCTGAAGAGTTTTTATTAGTTCCATTTTATCTGTCAATAGCATAACCTACTAGCAGCATGCACAGTATGAAGGCAGGCATTACAGTTTGCTACAGTAAGTGTGATGGATATTTGGCTTAAACTTGTAGACATGATACGTACCGCTTGTACAGTTGTGTGATGAAGTATTGGCAAATAGCAGCACAGATGGCTTTGCCCTAAGATTAGGCCCCACATGCCAGACGTGATCTGGGAAATTGTCATTTTAAAAATAACTTCAGAGTGAGTGCCAAGATTTGAGAGATCCATGTGTCTAATAAACAGATAGAAACGCAGCATGGCCCAGTGCTGGAACTTAGTTATTGGGATTATCCTATGGCCATGGAACCCAGCAAGAATTATCACCTCGGCTCAGCCAATAAAAATGGCATGCACCTTCACTATTTTCCTGAGTACTTTAAACAGGGGGATGGGTTTAGGTTGTCAAAAAAAAAACTAAGTACTTAAAAAAAACCTCTTCCAAAATAGCCACAGTCAGAGCTTGTCTACACAGAATATTACAAATTAAGTCTCCCCCCACCCCAAGCAATGGGTGAGGTGGCACAGTGGTACTGAAGAGTCTTCTCCCCCTTCGGTGGCATCAAAGGCAAGAATAACAAGCAGTTTGTATTTTATAGTCTTTTTTATTTAGTCATCTGGTTGCAAGACAAGAATCCATGTCTCCACACAAAGAGAGACGTTGGCTACTCTGAGCTCCACCTCTTCTGTCCCCAACAACATCCTGAGTGCCAACGGGAAGTCACAGGAGTCCCACCCATCTGCCATTTTTATTCTAGAATACGGAGGGACCGACAGGCCCATGGAGATGGAGGATTCCTTGTACTCTCCAGGGAGGTCTCTGCCGGCTGCACCCTCACCTCCCCTGCCTCCTCCATTATCTCGTAACTAGGCAATTCTTCCTTGAACGGTATAGCATCTCTCTCTCTCTCTCTCTCTCTCTCTCTCTCTCTTGCCGCCTGAAACTGCTGTAGACAAGGGGGCCCTGAAGCTTCTCCCTCCCCCTCCTCTTCAGAGGGAATCTTATCAGACTGAGTGCACACTTCCCAGTCTTCCTGTTCTGACCATTCCCTGCCACTGCCACTTGAAAGAGTCTCAAACCAGGGGTGGACTTTGGTCTTTCAAATTTCATTGGCACCGTGTGTGAGAACCGAATTCTGTGCCCGCCCCCCGCCTCTTGCCTTCTGTTCTACTCAGCTCACTACATCAAAGTTGCAATTCTCCTGCGGCAACCCCTAGGCTCAGCTCCCAGTGGGGTGCCTCTGCTCACATGTACACGTAAGGGCATTGTTGCTTTAGAATGACATGTGCATATATAATGTGCAAAATATCAAGCAAATTAAACTGTCAGCGAGGTGTTGAAACAAACCACGTGGTGGAAGTGTCAGATGGCCTATGATTTCGGGAGGCAAAGAACACATACCATAATGTAAGTTGTGGAAATGTAAGGCTTGATAGGAATTTATTTTTGTTAATGATGGATCGTTTTGTTAGGTATCTTAATTTATAAGAAACAATGAGACAAAGAATAAGAAGGTGATGGTAAATTCAATCTGCGAGACAGCTAATACTGTTTCAGGCCCAAGATGGTGGGAGGGAGTTGATCTGGGTCAAATGTAGACCTGATGATGATGGTACAGCTGTATTACCTGAGTACTCTGCCTTTTTTTTGTTCACTTGACGGGACAGACTTTGTTGGCTGTGTGCCCATGGAATAACCAAGAAACCCACTGAAGCCCTTTTTATTTGAAAATCTAGGAATCCTAGTTATGCCTTCATTTTCTCTTGAAATGTGCTCACAGCACTATATAATAACTGCACATTGTTTATGAGTTGCTTCCATTGCCTGGGTCTCTTTCTTCGATGTTGTATTTCTGTTGTTGTAGAGATGGCCATATCCGTATGTACAAACATACACACACATATTATTTATTGTGCTAATGTCACTTGCTTGAGGATTTTGAGGATATTATCCTATGCATCAAAAGTGTGATGATGGCAATTCTTTTTACCATGCCAAAAGTCTCCTATCACTTTCTTTTCTTCTGTCACCTTGCTTTCCCCTGCTGCAGCGAAGCCTTGAAGAACCAGGCTGCATTCTCCAGTCAGCTTAACATTTTAGTTTTTTCCAGAAGGGTAAGTGCTGCATGTGTTGGTGGCAACTGTCCGTTTCTCCCCCTTCCTTCTTAAACACAAGAATGTTGATCTCTCACCCCTGTGAGCCGTCACCTGTCTAAATCTGTCCTTGTGTCAAATGCATATATGGAGAAAGTGAGTATGGCAACCAATGACGTTCTGCTTCTAAAATAGACCCAGCTCTCTTCACTCAGTTAAAACAATGTCCTCCAGGGAAAGATCCTCAAAGGACATTTGATCTCACAAGCTTTGGAATTCTTTTAAGGGACCTAACCCGGAAACCGCTCGGCAGCACCCTAACTCTGAGCCTATGCTCCTTGGAATCGCTAGGAGATGAGCACCTCTCTTAATTACAAGTCTTTTTCCAAAGAGCAGCAAACTATGGATAACTTGGAGAAGCAGCTTATTTGTCCCATATGTTTAGAGATGTTTACTAAGCCAGTGGTTATCCTCCCCTGTCAGCACAACCTCTGCAGAAAATGTGCCAACGATATCTTCCAGGTAGATCTATTAAACTTTTTAAAATTCCAATAAATGTTTATAATACTTTCATGTTAAAAGGGGAGGGGTATCATTTAATAAACAGGATTCTCTTTAAAAGCAAAAAGAGAGAGAGACTTAATTAGGCACATGGGTTCTTTGTTATTTATCTTATGTGTGATTTCGAATCTGTTACATTTGTAAATGTCCCTTTTATTTATATAGGCTGAAATGTTATTTCAAGTATTTAGAGATATTAACACACATACCCATTCCTGTTGTTCCACAACACCTCTAAAAATGGCAAATTTCTCTCTAGCATAAGTTGTCATTATATTATTAGCTTCCAGGCTTGAGCAACAATATATTTGCAGCTATTTCTCTTTCTGTGTACTTTTTGGGCAGTATTTTTCCTGGTAGTTTGGCTTTGATGACCTGATCCAGGTCCCCTGGAGTCATCAGAGTCACGGCATCCAGGTATTAGATCATATCTTAAGCAGATAGTGTGAGATGGACCTTGTGATGTGGAAGTGAGAGCAGTTGTCAGAAATAACTGTGAAATAATGCATGCTTAGCTTTACAACTTTGTTTATTGTTTGGCAAGAACAGGCCTCGAACCCTTACCTGCCAACCAGAGGAGGCACAACTGTGGCATCAGGAGGTCGATTCCGCTGTCCATCTTGTAGACATGAAGTAGTTCTGGACAGGCATGGAGTGTATGGTCTTCAAAGGAACCTGTTGGTGGAAAATATAATTGATATTTACAAGCAGGAATCTACCAGGTAATAGACCGATTTTTGTCCTTGAAGGATTGATTATGGATGCAGGTTCCTGACTTGGTTGTGTTTGCCACAGAAACACATGGATTGGATTCCCCAAGCCCCAAATCGAGACTTCTGTCATAAAACTGAGCTATTGCTGCCCATTCCCTGTTAGAACCTCTTTCCCCTACCCCATTCTTATTTTAATTCCTCAAGTCAACCTGGAGCTTTTATCTCTAGCTAGCTAGAGAAAGCAATAGCAACGAGCAGTGCTTTTTTTCAGGGGGTACTCAAAGGTATGCAGTACGGCACTTCTTTTTTTGTTGTTGTTAAAAAGTGTGGCACTTACTGTAACAACTTCATGGTAAAAAGGTTAAGGGACCCCTGACTGTTAGGTCCAGGCGCGGACGACTCTGGGGTTGTGGTGCTCATCTCACTTTATTGGCCGAGGGAGCCGGCGTACAGCCTCCGGGTCATGTGGCCAGCATGACTAAGCTGCTTCTGGCAAACCAGAGCAGCGCACAGAAACGCCGTTTACCTTCCCGCTGGAGCAGTACCTATTTATCTACTTGCACTGTGTGCTTTTGAACTGCTAGGTTGGCAGGAGCAAGGACTGAGCAACGGGAGCTCACCCTGTCTGGGGATTCGAACCGTTGATCTTCTGATCGGCAAGCCCTAGGTTCTGTGGTTTAGACCACAGCACCACCTGCGTTTAGAAAAAAAGCACTGGCAATGAGCACCATCAGCATCTGCTAAAGGTAGTGAGGCCCCCACATCTCTGGTGGTTGCTCAGTTGCTGATACTGGTTAGGATTTGCTTTGTATAAGAAGAAAGGTTTGCTCTCTTTACCCTTTGATTGGGAGCTTCATTTTACAGTATTGGATGCCACACAAGCTTCTATTCTTATTGAATAATGCTGGCAGCTCTAATCTGTTGCTTTATGGGATTTCTTGGCATAAAGCAATATGTAGAAAGGTATTTACTCCTTGCATCTGAGAAACGAGCCTACAAATAATTCATCATGTCAGCAGTCTTTGCTCATGTACACACTCAAGAAAGTCCGTCGGTCTGTAGCCACAGAACCAAACGATGATGCATGCTATGGATCACCCACCAAATGGATCACCCACAAAATTCCTGCGTCCATTTCAGTTTCTTCCATATATCCACCATACGTTACAACATTCCAGCACTTTTAAAAATAAAACATCAAAATCTACTGCAACGAATTGCTGAATAAAATCCTTAAATATTTTCCCCGGTAATGTGTGTTTTTCCACATGACTACTTAGTTGCCAGAGTCCTTCTGTAGACTGGCCCAGAGAGCAGCTCAGCTTCTTCTCCTCTCTAGGTGAAAAAGAGGTGAAATGCGCTTTTATACAGAAGGCATTTGAACAAGTGCCGCTTGCTTGACAAGCTATACTTGCTGATTTTGCTCTTCTACTTATGCAGCTGAAAGTGCAGAAGCTCTGCCCTCCTCCCCCCCCCCCCCTTAGATGCAGGGGAGAAGAGCTTAACAAATCCTCTCTGGGTCAGTCTACAGGAGCTCTGAAAGGACTTGGGCAATCAAGTAGTCATCATAGTGGCATGCATAAATGCACCCATAGCTGGAGGAAATGGGTTTTTTATTTATTTAGCTTTTTTATATAAAAAAAGACCATTCAACATGAAAAGAGCAAAGCTGAGTAGAGAAATAGAAAAGAAAAACACATCATATAAAAGCAATGTAATATCATTATCATCAAAACAAATATAAAACAAGATCCATGTGATCTCATTGCTTCCCACACAGCCATACTAACACTAACCTGGGAGTGCCTGTTTGAAGAGAGTTTTTTTCAGCATATGCAGAAAGACCAAAATCTGGCTTCAAATCACTGCCCATACATGCACTGAAACCAACAGTTTTCTGTTGATGATTTACTGCAAGGACACACTCAAATCACTTAAAGCACTTGTCCACCTGCTTCCAGAGCATCTTTCTCTAAGCTCTAGATCATGGGTAGGCAACTAAGGCCCGGGGCTTGGATCTGGCCCAATTGCCTTCTAAATCCGGCCCGTGGACGGTCCGGAAATCAGTGTGTTTTTAAATCAGTAGAATGTGTCCTTTTATTTAAAATGCATCTCTGGGTTATTTGTAGGGCCTGCTTGGTGTTTTTACATGAGTAGAATGTGTGCTTTAATTTAAAATGCATCTTTGGGTTATTTGTGGGGCATAGGAATTCGTTTTTCTTCTTCTTTTTCTCAAAATATGGTCCAGCCCCCCACAAGGTCTGAGGGACAGTGGACTGGCTCCCTGCTGAAAAAGTTTGCTGACCCCTGCTCTAGATGCTGGCCTTGCCAAATCCTATTGCGCTCGCTCTCTCTCTCTCTCTCTCTCTCTCTCTCTCTCTCTCGCTCTCTTCATAATTTCTTTCATTGACATATTATGTGCGTATTATGCCAATACCAAAACGATGTCAAACCAAACCTAGCAGCACAATTTTATACATGTCTACTTGGAAGTAAAGGGACGCGGGTGGCGCTGTGGGTAAAACCTCAGCGCCTAGGACTTGCCGATCGCATGGTCGGCGGTTCGAATCCCCGCGGCGGGGTGCGCTCCCGTCTTTCGGTCCCGGCGCCTGCCAACCTAGCAGTTCAAAAGCACCTCCGGGTGCAAGTAGATAAATAGGGACCGCTTACCAGCGGGAAGGTAAACGGCGTTCCGTGTGCTGCGCTGGCTTGCCAGATGCAGCTTGTCACGCTGGACAAGTGACCCGGAAGTGTCTGCGGACAGCGCTGGCTCCCGGCCTATAGAGTGAGATGAGCGCACAACCCTAGAGTCTGGCAAGACTGGCCCGAACGGGCAGGGGTACCTTTACCTTTTACTTGGAAGTAAGCTAGTCCCTGCTCACTGTGCACAGGACTGTAGCTTTAATGACGCGGATATTTTCTGGCTGCCTCTTCATGGAGCATTGCAGAATAAGGGATGCTGTTTTGAAGAATAGAGAGCATCTCTTCAGCGACGTTTCTCTGGCTCTGTAGCACTGTAATTGAAATCTGAATAGGTTCCCAGATATTATTGTGCAAAAGTCTTCCCTTGGGAAAAGGCTGTATGCCAGAAACTGAAGAGCTATGTTATTTCATATAATTGAGCCCATTCCTTCTAGGATGGCAAGACGAGAGAGAGAGAGAGAGAGAGAGAGAGAGAGAGAGCAAGAGAGTGAGACAGAGAGAGATGGAGAGAGAACAGGTCTCTTGAACCTTTAACAGTTGTGTAGAAAAGGAAATTTCCATCTTCTACACAACTATTAAAAGTGCAGGAAGGAACTTTTTCTTTCCCCCCTTCGTTTGGTCTTCCTGGTTCCTTCTCCATCTTGACAGCTGGGCTATTATAATCTAAGAGAGTCCATAAGTTCAATAGTGTTCAACACTGATGCTTGGCTTGGAAGTCAATTTGGAACAGAGAAGCCATGGAAAGGGTTAAGCACCTATCGGCTCCCTCTGCCCTTTCTCTGCTCTGCATCTCCCCCTCCCCCTTGCAACACACCCTGCTATTTTGCTTGGTAATTTAGAACAATTATCAAGTTTATGTGTAGAACTCTTAAATTGCCCCCTTAAATTTTTCATACCTAATTTGATTACAGTACATATATGGAGCCTATCTTACTGTGCAGGTCTCATTCATTTCCTCCAGTTCCATTTCACCTTTAAGTGCTAGAAACCAGTACATGGGAACTTCTGAGTGCAGGATCAGTGTAGTCTAGGGGGAACCTATTATTGTGTACATGGGTTGAAGACCAATATAGAGTAAAAATGGGCATATTGTGAGAGGATTATACATACTGGATCTCTGAAAAACAGCCTCTGTAAACTTGTGCAAGGACTAAGTTTTAATTTATATATTTTTTAACTGTTGCTATATCTGTATTGTCCCTGTTATACCTAATTGCAAATTCAAATGTATCCCTATCGTGTTTTATGACTTCCTTGATATTGTATGTGGGCTGGAACTGGTCTGTGACCGAAATAATAAATTCATCATCACTTGTGCAAGGAAACAGACAGGAATTCTTTGGGGGTGTTTATAGTACCATCTGAGAGTGCAAGGAAGGTTTTTTGTGTGCACATTGCACAGCTCCTTCCCCCCACCCAGCTGTTCACATCTGTACGGGTTCACCAATGTCAGATTGCATCCCTTCTAACATGAAGCAGCCCAAAACTGGGACACAGATTGCAGCCTCTCAAAAGTGCCTTTTTGGGACATGGCACCCCAAAATGCATATTTTTGAGCACCATGCCCAAAAAAAGTACAGCCCGAAATTATGCAAGATTCCAGCAGCCATTTTTTCGGGGCAATTGACAGGCATGAGATTAGTGCAACACCAAGGGGCACTGGCGGGGTAGAGATGTTTCTGCCCTGTGCAAAGGTATTCCTCTTCTTCTTTGGCAGTCACTCATAGCCGAATAAGATTGTATTCCATGAATATGGTCTTAGTGGTTTGTCCATAGGCCAGTTCTGGCTCCACATGTCCTTCCACAGTGGGGACATAGGTTTCTAGGCAGGAGTTGATCATGGTGAGGGTTTGCCAAATGTGCTCATTTCTCCCTTTCGTCCTGAGTTCAAGTGTCTTCAAAGTCCATGACACCTTTGGTAAAGGCTGTTCTCCAACTGGAGCGCTCACAGGCCAGTGTTTCCCAATTGTCAGTGTTAATACTCCATTTTTTAAGATTGGCCTTGAGAAAGTTTTTAAACCTCTTTTGTTGACCAGCAGCATTATGCTGATGTTCACACCTTGGCTAGATATGAATTAGGAATGACTCCAAGAAAGTTCAGGAATTTTGGATATGAATTTTGAATAATATTGTGTAAACATGGATTACAAACCCAGCACTGGAAACACAGTAAGTGCACAGTAAATGGAAGTGTGAACCCAGCATGTTTTCAGATTTACCTTCTCTGTTCCCCGTGTCATTCTTTTGTATCGTATTCTTCTGTTGGGGAAAGACCATAGTTAGTAGAAAAGTGTATTACTCGCATATAGAAAGTCCCAGATTCAGTACTTGGCATCATGACCAGGATCAGGTATCAGGGAGAGCTACCATAAGTCAGAGTAGACAGTATCAGGCTAGATGAACTGGCATTTTGCCTATTTTATTTAATCATTTAATTTTTTAAAAAGTGATGCTGAATGGGATTTGGTTTTCTTCTTCTTCTTCTTGGTGAATTGCATTCACAGGCCTGAAAGAAAAACTGAACAGCCAATGTGTGAAGAACATGAAGATGAGAAAATTAATATTTATTGCCTGAACTGTGAAGTGCCGACATGCTCAATGTGCAAAGTTTTTGGTGCTCATAAAGATTGTGAGGTTGCTCCCCTCACGAATGTTTACCAAAGACAGAAGGTAATTATTATTTTTTTTAAAAAAGGCTTCCTCTTAATGCATTTTCATCTGTAGAATTCTAGTAGTTTTTGAAAACAAATAACCATAATAAAATTCTCTCCCTGGTGAGGTCCTCCACCAATGTTGCGGGATTGCAGTTTGATTGTCCCACTTGAAAAACCCAGTCAGAACTGTATACCATTGATTATGTGAGATGTGAAACTCAAAATGGAAGGGCCCTACCAAGGTCATCTTGTTGAAGTCCTGTGCCCTGATAGGGTCTTTTTGACTTTTCTAAATCTACCCAGCCTTTTGTTAATACTGGTACATGCATTACAACCAACATGTTGATTAGCCTGTGACATGGAAACCTTCCTTACCAATGCAAATTGATAACACAACCAGGAATGTGAGGCACTGACCAATCCAAATGGTGACTTGGGCAGCTTTCATACACCATGGCCATGTGGCTATGTGGAAGAATTTATCAGCGTTCCCCTCAGAGCTCCCACAGTGTATGAAATAAACATGCCTTCTTTCTTTTTCTCATTTGTTCTGCCAAACAAAACTCCTTATTTTCAGACCTAGCTCTAGGCTTTAGGGGTTCCCCAGCAAAAATGTACTTTGGTGAGCCTCCTTCTACCTTGGTGGGTTTTCTTGGTGACATAGGCTTTTATTCATGGTCATGGCAGGTAGCAGTGTTCCAATGAAACTGCCATTTTAATTTCCCACAATGCCCCTGAATGTAGCATGGCTCTGGTGCATTGGAGGAAATTTAACTGATCGATTCCAGATTCCCACTGTGGAAAGTGACCATTATAAATTCCCCGGAACAAAAAAGTGGTGTCTTAGTAGCAGCCTGACGTAGCTGTGTGCTAACACCAGCCCCAATTATTAGCTTTATGATTATTGTTGTTGTTCTCCTCTCAAACCTTACCAGTTTGTCATTTTCTTTAAAATATAGTGACCAAATGTGCACAATATTTGACCAAAGACACATATCCTAGAGCCAAGAAAGAGAACATACTACTTTTTATGAATCAGTATATTTATGCGTACTTTTCAATTAATAAGGAAATGTTTTGTTTTGCAAGTAATTTCTTGAGTATGAAACAGAAAGGCTGGGCTATGCTCCTAGAATCCTTTGCTGCCATCTGTACAATATCTCTTTATTTTTAACCCGGCATTCACTAAACAGCTGTTTATTTGGACTATCCTCTGGAGAAATGCAGCTCAATTTCTTGAGAGTCCTAGTATGGCTGCCACTAGACAGAGCCAGTTTACAAGTACAGCCTTTGAATGGAACCCATAATTATATTTATTTGTGAACACTATGGCTGGGTAGATGCATTTGGGGGTGGGGACATCCAGTTGAATACACTGGAAGCTGTCCATGGCTTTCTCCTTTCTGAGATAATTAGAAAGAAATGATGTTTAACAAAGATATCTGTGAAATCCATGAATATGCATATCAATGATTATATATCTGCTGGAGATAATGTAAAACCTATATATGCGTCTCCTCCCAAATTGCAAAATTTAGGCGGTGGTTCAAATACTTTGTATTCAAAGCAAAAATCCCTGCAAAATGAGCAATTCAGATAGGCTGGAATAACCTTTCAAGAAGCAGTCTAGAAATAATTTCAGAAGGATAAAATAAAATCCTGCCAATCAACTTTTAATCCTATTCCTATAGGAACAAGATCCTTTAATGAAATAAGTTGTGGTGCAGATTAGCTTCATTTACTGCAAAAGTATATTTTGGAGTATTTTCATCTCTTTGGGGTTTTCAAAAGTAGAATTTATTGTATGTTCCTATAGTAAAGTATGTACATTTCCCCCAAAAATTATTTGTGTGGGAGGGAGGGGCAGATATTGTTTCAAAAATGCAAGCAATAAGGCCACAGAGTTTTATGCTCTCCTTAAGTTATGTTTATTTTACATTATAGTCTGAACTCAGCGATGGCATTGCTGTATTAGTGGGAAGTAATGACAGGGTGCAAGGAATTGTAACTCAGTTGGAAGAAGCCTGCAGGACAGTTGAGGTAAGAAACACAATTTAGATTCTACCAAACTAAATTCTGCTTTAGAATTCTAATTATTGCATACTTACATTGTTATAGTCTGTGGTAAGAGCAAACAACTTTGATGATGGTGCAGTTTTAAATGTCTCATTTGAGACTTTCAATCTCATTTACTCTAAGAGGTGTGACTGGAGAAACACAGTTTTCAAGATGCACAGAGCTCAAAAGCATGGTATGTTATACACTAGCACAATTTATGCCATAAAGAGCACCGTCTTAACCATTTTTAAATGGATCATGTCTTCTCTTGGGGCTAACATGGTGAATGCTTCGTCCAGATTATGCTACCAGCAGAAGCCAGGAATAACAAAGGTGTCCCATGACAGAAGAGCCTGTCAACCTTACAGCGTAGGCAATGGATATGTTTAGTAAACAAACCCAGATGACTCAAGCAAGTGCACTGGGCCACACCCACTATGAAGGGAATGAAGAGTGCAGTCGCCAGCTAATGCACTGAAAGTTTCAATCCACATTAAATTTCTAGCCCACTGTAAGGTTGCAGGGCAGGTTGCAACAATTTAAAATTCAGTATTAAAAACAGTTTAAAACAAATGGTTGGCACCTGTCTGTCTCAAGAGACAATGGAATGTGCCTCTGGGGATGACGACAAACCATTGCGTTAGCAGCACTGAAGAGACCTCCCTGGGGCGCAAGTCTGAGCAGTGTGTATGGAGGTCCTGGGCTGCCCAGATGACAAGACCCACCTCCCTCAGCTTCGTTGATGTGGTGCAAAGGAAATCAGAGCAATATGTTTGGCACCAGCTTGGCTGCAGGAATTGCTGGTGTCATCCGACTGTCTTAGGGACTCCATTCCAGATTTGTGCAGGGTTTACACCTTGGTCTTTTCTTCTCCCAAACAGATCCCGCAAGCAGTGGAGGTTTAGGTTCAGAGTTTTCATTCTCCTAGATGGGCTGCATTCCCAGGTTGATGGGCCCCATTTGCCCCTCAGTTCCCTCTACAGCACATGCAGAAACCGCCTTCATAACTGTTGGACCCACTATGGGACTTGTCTAGTCAATCCATTGGAGCCTGTCCTCACATGGAGGGGAAGTCCCTAACTCACCAAGGGTTTGAGACTCACTGGCTACCCTCATCTGGTTTAGCCAGCCAGCTGAGGCCATTTCCATGCTGTAGCCATTGTTGCTTGCTGACAGCTTTTAGGAGCCACACGTGAGAGCTGAGTGCAGGGTGGGGACCAACGGTGGACAAACTACCCAGAATAAACATGACGTGTCCACCACCAAAGTTACTACCCTTTCCCTAACAGCCCATGCGCCCCTTAAAGCAAATTACAGCCACAGAAATAGGGTGGATCATGGGAATATACATTTCAGGTGTGAAAGGCCAGGGTAAAGAGCCAATTCATAGTCACTGATAGCTTTCTACAAGTAAAAAAGTTAAAGGGTCAGCTCCCCCTGTCAACAGTTGACATCCACTGAGAAAGAATGTGTTGAATGGGTAGGAAACACTTACATCACCATTCTCACCCATGTGGTAACAATATTTACATGGAAGTAGATTTCACGCAAAGGCTTACCTAGCCTTATGATGGATGAGGTGAGCAACAGCAACCTTGCACTCAGTCCCAGGTGGTTTGGAGCCACTAATTGTATTTCCTACAATGCTGCTAATGTAGTGTCTGTCTGGGACATTGTGAGAAATTATAAGGGTGGCCCCAATGAGGGCTGACTCCAGGTTTGAAGGAGCAATAATCAATGCACTCAAGGCTAGCCTAATGCATTTTGTCACTTGAGGCAAAACAGAAAATGGGTCTCCTGCCTCCACCTAAGGTGACCAGAGGCAGCTGAGGGAAGCCCTGGCACATGGAAGGTGACAGAGGAGAATAAGGGAGGCCAGAGACGAGCAGGTGGCAGAAGCAGTGGCCCCATTCTTCCCAGGGCCAGGCAGTGGCCACAGGTGAGAAGTGCAGGAGGAGGTGAGTGGCACACTCCTCGGGGGCCTGGTTCTGCCACCCACCCAGCTGTCCCCAGCCTGCCACCTGAGGAGACTGTGTTGTTGAGGCTAATGGGCAGACAGGCCTCAATTCACTAGTGGGTTTGGCAGGGGTGCTAAGGCTGCAGAGGTTTACTAGGGATGGCTGAGTGTTTGCTAAAAATAAACTAACAGGCAAACAAAAGCAAATTCTCAAGTCCAATTTCCAGTTTGAAATTGGATGACATAATGAAATCGTGTGTATGCTTTCCCATTGCAGAATGAAGCCTTTCTCAAAGGGTTACTTTCCTGCTGTTGCCAGACCTACATGACCTTGGTTAATAACCTGCCGCTTGCCGCCATTTTACTTCAGGATCCTTAACTCCCATGAGGGTCAATTAGAGAGTGTCAGTGCATAATTGGAACACCACGTGGTTCGCTGACTCTGCATACTTATTCCGGATAGGTCAGAAAGGGCATCTGAAACCTGCCACTCCTCTCATGACATTTTTCAGACACAAGAAGAGGCATTTCTCTTTCAAGATACAATCTTAAGATCAAATGTAGGCCCTCCCCTCCCCATTTTCTTCCCCACCCTGTAAATAAATGGTGCAGGCTGCAGGCTCCAGCAGGAGATTGGAAAGAGGATGGGTGCATTTTAACTTCTTTTTTCTCCTTTGGCATCCCACCTCTAAATCAGCTATCCTCCAGATGATTATTGTCTTATGTGAGCAAAGCACCAAAAGTTACCTGGGGGACAAATTTGTAGGGAGAAGATTGAGTAGAAGACTGAAGTTGCTCCCTTTCCTGCCCCCATCAGTCCATCATGTATCGTCTAAACCTCAGAAAGCAATGTTGACCATGTTCTAGACCAGAGCTTTCCAAACTGTGTGTTGCGACACATTAGTGTGTTGGCTGCAGTGTACAAGTGTGTCGTGCAATATGTTTCTGTATCTCTTATAAGGGGTTATTTGAGCTCCAGTTTGCTAGCAAAACTGAATTACTGGGTCAAAAAATGATGCATGTCTAAAAATTGTGTCACCAACATGAAAATTTTGGAAAGCTCTGTTCTAGACCGTGGTACTTCTGCCTCTGAAAGTAGGCTGGACCGGCAAGTCCTGCTATCTTTAGCTATAAGGAGTTGACTTGTGACAAGTATAGAAAGCTAAAGATAGCAGGAATGCAAGGAATGGATACTGATAGTTAAGAGTGTGAAGCATGTAGACCAGGGATGGGGAACCATAGCCCAGGTGTGAAAAGTGCCCCCCAGGCCTATTATCTGGTCTTCAGGACCTTCTGCAGGCCATGCCCCCTCTGGAGACCCCTCCATGCCATCCTCAAGTGCCTTTGCCTGACTGGAATGTGTTTTTGAATTGTCATAATGCCTCTTGCTTGCCTGGAGGGAGAGAAGTGTACATGTGTAGAAACCTCTGCTTTTCCATGTAGCCTACTATATAAAGCTAAGATTCACACTTGTTACTTGTTACCCACTTGTCTTGCCTCTGGCCCCACCATCAGCTGGTGCCCATTGGGGCTGGTGGGGTGGAAGGCAGGGAGCCAGAGCCAATAACAAGTAGAGCCAACTGATTTTGTCCCCATCCTCCTCGTAGAAGAAGCTGACAGTCAAGAGCCATTCTCTTGGACTGGATATAAGTGGGGGATTTTTAAGTCCCACACAGACTGTGTATTGGCTATACTAGGGTGTGTGGGTGGGTGTGTGGGTGGGTGTGTGGGTGTGTAGGACTACATTTTCTCATGGACAACCCCAGTGGAGGTTGGCCAATTAGGGCCTATGGGGCACTGCCCCACCAGTCTGCCCTCAGCTTGCCTCCATGTAGGCTCACAAGATCATCATCATTTTCATTCATTTCTTTTTCTGCCATTTGTTATGTGCCCAGAATGGCTCACAACAAATCAAATGAATAATAAATATAATTTATTTAAAAATGTTCCTGCACGTGCTTCTGGGAAAGTGCACAGACAGGGACTGAAGGCAACCAACCTCTTGTACTGTTGTGCCTAGCACCTGATATTCAGAAAGATTCTTCCTTTGAGCATAGTATTTCTGTATATCTAATAGGATTAAATAAAACCACAGGAGAAATGGGCAGGAGAAACTGCAGCTGTCTCAGGGAAGTGAAAGATAGAGAACAGTTCTCTGGGTTGTAGCCCAGCAACTCTTTCCACAGGAGGCATTAGACAGGAGTAGTAGGACTTACACCACAAATAATGCTGTGAATTTGTCTTGAAACCACAAGCGCCTTTCATGAAGTTCTTGCAAAATATTTGCATCACTAATGTTAACAAACCGACAAATAAAAGCACATGATGGGCAACTGGAGCTTGCAGAGAAACCCATCTTAGACTGAGGTCAAAACTAGGTGTGATGCAGAACATCTCAGAACATAATCTGCTTCATTAAAAAAAAAATGAAGGCCACATGAGGCCTGAATGGGATCGGGACCATAGCATTGGGAGAGTAGGTAAATCCTTTCCTCCCATACTCTCTTTGCCTATAAAATACCCTTCCCAAAGCTGCCATCTGTCCCTCAATGGGAAACGTATGATTATACTAAAGAAAATCTGATGATCTCCATATACAGTGGACACTCGGGTTGCGAACATGATCTGTGTGGGATGCATGTTCGCAACCCACAGCTGCACGTCAGCGCATGTGCGGGTTGCAATTTAGTGCTTCTGCGCATGCGCAACTGCCAAAACCTGGAAGTAACCCATTCCGGTACTTCTGGGTTTTGGCGGTCCTTAACCTGAAAAAACACAACCTGAAGCGTCTGTAACCCGAGGTATGACTGTAGTGTTCAGGAGGACTCATCTTATTCTGCATTCCTCCTGAAAGCTATCCAGTCCCTACCATCTAGGACAGGAAAGGCAGAGGCACGTGATACATGATTGGAGGAACAACCCAATTCAGTTCACATTTAAAGGTGAACCTCCCTGTTTTGCACTTTCCAAAACAAGAAGCAAGTCCACACACAGCCATCCTTCAAAATTTGCATTTCTCTGAATTTTACAGTACACTCATCAAGCCAAGTCGTGTATACAATAATGCATATACCAGTGGAAAGTGTGCACATAAATGCATACACTACTGAAAATAACACAGAGAATGCAGTATATCAAGGGAAATGGCTTTCAGAAATGGATATCTCTCTCTCTCTATGCTATATTTACGCCAGTTTGTCATCGCGGTGTTATCATTTGCTGGTTTCCAAGATTCTAAAGGCAGGAATGGTGGTGGGGAGAGAGAGAGGAGGAGGATAGGCAGGAAGAATAATAAATTAGTTGGTTGGGAGGGGAGGTTAAGGGAAGGCCTTGGTTGGCGAAACAAGGGTTGTTATCTGTGTGACAGTTTTAGTTCTCTGATGATTGAGGGGGTGGGGATAAAGTAAGATTTGGAGAAGGGGCTAGTGGCGCTGTGGGTTAAACCACAGAGCCTAGGACTTCCGATCAGAAGGTCGGTGGTTCAAATCCCTGCGATGGGGTGAGCTCCTGTTGCTCGGTCCCTGCTCCTGCCAACCTAGCAGTTCGAAAGCACGTCCAAGTGCAAGTAGATAAATAGGTACCGCTCCAGCGGGAAGGTAAACGGCATTTCCGTGCGCTGCTCTGGTTCGCCAGAAGCGGCTTAGGCATGCTGGCCACATGACCCGGAAGCTGTACGCCGGCTCCCTCGGCCAATAAAGCGAGATGAGCATTGCAACCCCAGAGTCGGTCACGACTGGACCTGATGGTCAGGGGTCCCTTTACCTTTACCTTTAAGGTGGCATGTAGAGGAATGAGGGAAGTATGTAAGTGTGTGAAACAGTTTTAGAGTTCTGGTGACAGGTGAATAAAGTTGGAGAGGAGGAGTAATTGGGGAAAGGACAGATGGAAGTGGATGGGGTCAATTGGGACATTTGCTGTAGATCCACCCTCTCCTGTTAATCAAAACGACATACAAAAATGTGTTTCTTCAGAGCAATTCGCACTGAAATGTTCATGAATTTTCTTGAGGATTAGTTTAATTTAAATTCGCAAAGTGCTCCGGAAATGTGGAGAACTAAATTTAAGTATGGAAAACGAGAAACTGAGATGACCAACACTGACAGATTTGTTTAACGCAATATGAAACTGAATACTAGACATCTCCCCAAGTTTCTTCCACCAGTTTCTTTGGGGAATTTTAATAAGGAAAGTCAGAGGAAGGGAAGAGTTAAGCCTCCCTGCACTGCGGGCCTCAACCAATTTTGAATGCTCTGTAGTTACTACTGTGGTACCTCGGGTTACAAACACTTCGGGTTACAGACTCCGCTAACCCGGAAGTAGTACCTTGGGTTAAGAACTTTGCTTCAGGATGAGAATGGAAATCATGCCTCAGCGGTGCCGCAGCAGTGGGAGGCCCCATTAGCTAAAATGGTACCTCAGGTTAAGAACGGTTTCAGGTTAAGAACGGACCTCCAGAACAAATTAAGTTCGTAACCAGAGGTACCACTGTATTACTATTTCTTTTATGCTGCAGGAGATCTTGATCACATTGTCTCCCATGTCACATCTAACTCTGCCCTCACTATAAGCCTTGTCAAAAGAACCCCAATCTCTCACGCATATACACCAAAAGACGAAAACAGCTAAAATGATTGAACCTTCAACACCAAGTGAAAGGTTGTAAATAAAAAATACACAGGGCAATAAGGTTTAAATTCAAGATACTGTGGCTCTAATTAGCAGGAAAATCCATTGTAGTTCTTCATGTAACCAAAGCAAAGAAGAAGAAATAATATACCAAAGGTGGTTCAAAGTCTCTAAAAACCCCGAGCCAAGGAAGGAAGGGAAGAAAAATATAAGCATTTAAGTTAAAACTTTGTTGTCAGGAAGGCTTTGCACTGCAAGGATGAAATTGGTTGCTATCAGGGATTTGCAGACTGAAACAAGCCTTTCAAGTAAGTTAACTGTAGAAATTAGAATCACACCAAAGCAGAGGCTCCTTAACACTGAAGTTTTAGCAAACTTAAACAAAAACCAAGACCTCAAAGGTTTGTAGAGAACGATACATTTAAGAAACAGAAGCAATCTCCAAGACCAATGCTGTATCTTTCCAGCAATGACTCACTCACATGCAATGCTCTCTTTTTTCAACTATTTTCCAAACTGGAGAGATTGAGATACTCGTACAGCCTTTCACCTTCATAATGTTTATGAAGGCTTTGCATCCATAAATAATAATAAAATAAGCTGTTAAGATGTTTTCTGTGAGGAGTGATTCCATAACCCAATGATTCTCCCTCATTTCACATCATCTCCCTCTCTGATGGGCATCAGTTTGACCTTGAAATTTGTCAAGCTAAGAAAATCTCCTAGAGCTAAGAGACACAAACATTCACCTTCCTGTTCTGGTTTAAAATGTGGATTCCAATACATTGCACAGCTGGAATCAAAATGATTTAAGCAACCTGGAAATGGGGTTCCTGATTCTTTATTACGATAAACTCTTTTCTGACCTCTGCTTAAATTAGTTCACTGAAAGCTTTGAATAAGGCTAGGCTTCTAAAATAGAATATCTGATTATTTACTTTTTGTTTCAAATGCAAAGGCAGATCCTGCTGAGCTATATTTAGCTTTTGTAATCGGCCCAAAGTTTTTGAGTATTCAAGTTATGTTAAGGAAAAATATGTTTCAGACTATTTTAAATAATTTTGATGTGTTTGAGAGTAATAATGTGTATAAAAGTCTACCTACTGGAAGAAAATACTTTAGAAGCTGATAAGTTTCATATTTTTAGAATGTGCTACATAATTATGTAGAATATTTTTATTTCCTAGTCTTGTCTTTTAAAAATATTTGCCATATTCAACATAATCTGCAACATTCATAGTTTTGATGTATTTTTCAATACGTTTAGGATTAGTGCACATTATGAAGAAATTCCACGCCTCCCTCATTATTCTGGAATACTAAAAACTAGAGGTTCTCTCTTCAGTTGTCTAATGTGGTACATTTTTGTTCAAACAGATTTCATTCAGAGAAGCCCCTTGGCCCTTAATAGCCATTGTTCAGGATTATTTATTTTCACAAAAATACTTTGTTCCGAAATATTTATTTGATAAAAGCGATTTCCAGAATAGTAATGCAATAAAATGCAGGTGACATAACACTTTTTAACGTGAAGCCAATTATTCACAGGATTGCTGCAAAAGGCAGAAGGAGCAACTATGTGAAAAATTTGATTATTTGTACTCAATACTGGAAGAAAGAAAAAGCGAGATGACACAAATAATCACAAGGAGCCAGGAAGAGAAACTGGAACATGTCCGGTCTCTGATAAAAAAGTATGCCAACCATTTGGAGACAGTGTCAAAACTAGTGGAATCAGGCATCCAGTTTATGGAAGAGCCAGAAATGGCCGTTTTCTTACAGGTATGGAGCTTCGAAAAAACCAGGAGGACATAGGGTCTTGCTAACCTTTCCTATGTTGTTATTTGTGCAATTCTAGTGACTGTTCATACACGTATGGCCCTCATCTTACCATTGACAAGAAACAGTTGTTTTAGTATCTCTGGCACACGATGCATCCAGGAAAACAGAAGCTATTGTGAAATATAATGTAAGGCAGGGTATAGGAAATAATCTTGATAAAGTCTCCAGAAAGCAGCAACATGTTTTGGGCACTGTGACATCACAATGAGTCTATGTAATTTGCACCTTTAAAAATATTTTGATAGCCCCATATTATTAATGGAAGTTCTGGCCTAAAGCACAGGGTGAGGTCCAATGGACACGCCCCTCCCTTTTTTTTAAAAGAGAAAAATCACAGCTCCTACATCAGAAGATAATAATGACTGCCTTATTTCAGAAGATGACAGCTCTGCAAAGAGATGCAAGTACACTGTTTCATATGTTTGCGGTTTTGAGCTGGGAACTTCCACCTACACTATTCTATTCATAGATCTCAAAGATGAAGTCAGGGCTGGGTTAACCGTTATGTTAAGTTCCGCTTAAAGCTCAGAGCCCCGGGTAAATTGAGTCAGTTTATGTGGTATAATTATCTTGGAGTTCCCCAGTGTGAAAAGTGTACCTGTCCTGTTCCTTTATAATATCCCCCTTATCAGCTTATAACTGATGATTATCTCACTCATTACTTGACAGTGAAGCAGTGGCAATATTCACAGCTGCAGGGAAATTGAGAACATTAGTAGTCTGCTGCTGCTTAGCCTGAGGAACAGAATGACGATGCTTTCTGTATTGAGGAAAATGTTCAGTATGGCATGTAGCAGACAGATACAGCAGCCCATTGCCTCCATGTGTCTGCCTGTGTAAGTGCATGCATAGATATCTTCCTGTGCAAAGGTAGTTGTAAAGATGTACCTTATGGGTCAAAACATAGGGGGTGGGAAGCTCCTCTAGTCAAAGCCCATGTGAAATTCCTGATCATGGTGAAAAGTCTAACTCCTGCATTTGTTAAGCATACATTCTAGAACTCCCTATAAAAATTAACTTGCAATGTTACAGCTCTGTTGCTGTTTGGTGGTCATGTTGAAGATGGGAGAGGGTGGTTTAGTGGCAGCTTTCAAAAATTGTTGCGAATTTAGTGCATGGCAGTTTTAAGCTATTGATCCTCACTGTTTGTTTCCTATGAAATTCAGATTGCATTTCAAATTGCTTTCTTTTTCCTTGTTATATTCGCCTTGAGGCCGTTTTGGCCTAAGGCAATTAATAAATAAAGATATAATAATAAATGTACCTTAAAGTAAGAAGAATTTAAGAAGTAACTCATTCCATTGGTTTTATTTTGTTTTTCACAGAATGCCAAAGCATTGCTGCAAAAGTAAGTTCTTCCCTTTCGAACAAGCCTGTGTATTTCTCACAAATATCACAAGACACCAATTTAAAAAATGTTCCTTTGCAATCTCTAATGCAAATGACACAATATTTCTGTTTTAGAATTACTGAAGCTTCTAGAGCATTTCAGATGGAAAAAATAGAGAATGGCTATGAAATTATGAGCCAATTCACCGTCAATCTCAACAGAGAAGAAAAGATAATAAGAGAAATTGACTTTTACAGAGGTATGTGCTTTCTTTTCTTTTCTTTGAACCCATTTGCTTTGTTTTTAACCATGAAGGTGCACAATTTTTGTGAAGACATCCTGTCAGGAATATGGCAGTGAGGCCTGTTTGACATTTCACAAATGTAACAAGGCCGTTTTCCATGCCTCATAATCAAAAGTAAACTCTCATGGAGACTAACACAGCATACTGAAAATATAATTTTTCTTTAATAGAATCTGGGGCTTTGGTCCTTCGTGATGTACATAACCATTTTTTAATTTTTTTTGAGAGTCAAACATCCTCTCTGCCACTAATGTTATTAACCTCTGTCTGGCCTGTTTATATGACTAGGCAGAACCACAGCTTACCAAATAGTGATGCACGGGAGAACATTTTCTTGAATAGCGGTGCTCATATAACGTAACAAGAGAATGGGGGCTTACTGGTATGTACGTTCACATGCCAGAAGGACTTAATTGTCCGCAGTGTTATTCTGCCAGTAATATTAACTCACCAGGGTAATTTTGTAAATGCAAGAAAAATTAATGTGTGTTTCCATGACTGTTGCCAAGGAAATATACCAGTACTTACGGTATGCGTTTGTATACCGAAGGCTGGAAGACCCTATTATACACCTCTTGTCACTTCAATCAATATTTGCTGTTGTTGTTGCTTTCAGTCTGCCAATGATACATAATTGATTATGTCCTGTCCCCCTCCCCATTTGTATTGTGTTTCCTTTGCATCAAAATGAATGGGGTGGAATAATAGAATGTTGAAGCAATTTATGCAATTAATTACATATATTGCGTATGTTATGTAACTTTGCCAAGGTGGACATTGAGAAGAAGAATGTAGTTTTTGGTGCAGCAGAATGAAAGCAGCCTTGCATGCGACAAACACAGGCCAAGATGGATAACACTGCCTTCTTACATCCCTAGAATTCATAGCTTCTTTGTTGTCATCTTGAAATATTTCTAGCATCATACATTTTCTTAGGTAGTTCTCTATAAACTGTGATCTTGAAATAAACATTCAGCACCTTTTGTGTTTTTGCTGGGATGATTACCAGAAATATGATGTTGAATGCTATGTCTGTGTTTGGATGACGAGTTGAGCCAGAAAATATACAATGAATGAGCAATGTGATAGTACAACACTGCTCTGACTGCACTCCTTCCCTCCTGCAAGCAACAGACTGGGAACCTTGGTTTACTGTGGCGGCCAAACCCTTGTTCATGGATTGTTTTTCTCCAAACAAACCACAATTTGAAATCAAGCTTTCAACCAGGCTTCATAATCATAGTTTGCTTGAGAGCTGCTGCTGTTAGGATGTTAGCTGTTCTTCCCAGGTCCTGTATCAAACAGGAGTTGTACCAGGGTCACAGATAGTTCATGAAGGGTATCTTTTATATCAGACCTTATGCCATTTGCACTGATGCCATGATACAGAAAATAAATCATGTAACAAGTCCAGACTACCACCCATTGTTACATCCTCTTTGTGATACATTAGAGGAGGAGGAGGACAATGAGGAGGAGGATGTGGCTGAAGCGGAAGAATTGGATGAAGTCCAGACAGAATCCTCTGGTGAGGAAGAAGCGTCTGAGCAGGTATCTCAGCAACCTCAGCAGGCCACGGAGATGCCAAAGGATACACTCGCTGTCTCTCAGACTAATGTAGCACCATCATTACCAACTCCACCATCAGTTACTGCTGCCCCTTCTGTTAATCAGGTAACTATTTGTCCTGTCTACTGTGCGTTATTGTCCTATCTACTGTGTGTTAGATGTTTTCTCCCTATTCTAGTCCCATCCCAAGAAGTCGTTGGGATGTTTCCAATGGTGGCTTTGTGGTTTTCACTAGTAAAAAGAACTTCCTCTAGCACTCAATTTTTGCCAATCTGCCCCATTCATTGCAGCCTCCCGTGCCCCATGAAAATCTGTTCCTGAGTCCCGAGGGACCCCAGGAACAGAATGTGATATGGCACAGAGGTGTGCAGTAGGTTGTGGGGAGGGAATCAGCAAAGATCGGATGCTTCACCTTGTGTAAGCGAAAATGCTTTCCCCTAGCACAGAGCTGCCATTGAGTGCAACCTGTAGTTTCTTAGTTGCAGACTGAATGTCAATTGTCATAAATAAATGAAAAGCAATAGTAAAGCCAATAATAATAATAATAATAATATGGCCCACTTTCCCCCTGCCAGTTCTGATACTGAAAGCAAGCATAGCTAGAAGGAGGAACTGTTGGGGGCGGGGATGTGGCAGGTGGAAAAGGGTTCTGATCCCCTCCCCATGTACCCCTACAAATAAGCAAATGCAATTTAGTCAGATTTAGAAACGATGGAGATTAGTGCTCTTTAAACTATATGTGTAGCACTTCCTTTCCCAGCATGGTACCCTCCAGATGTTCATGCAGATGTTCTGTTTTACAATTTCCATCAGCCCCAGCCTGCATGGCCGATGGTCAAGGATGCTGGGATTTGTAGTCCAAAACATTTGAAGGGCACCAGGTTGGAGAAGGCTGGTGCAGCAGAACAAACTCTTGAAACTAGTATTGGCAGCAAATATGCAATTTAAATGAATGAAAATTGCACCTATCTGAATATCTGAATATGTTTTGCAATACGCATTAATGTCTTCTTATGAGAATATAGCAATCCTAACATAAATCTAATGTATCGCTATGGAACCGTAAGATTGCAAGTCACAGAAAGACATCCCCATATATCCCACGTACATACCTATACGATCTCCTTCTTCTGGGCATTCCACATAGTTATTTCTGCACAGAAATGGTTCTGTGGTTTTCAGTTTTATAAAGCTATCAGTACAAATCAAGACGATTGTTGGCATACTCCTGACAGTGTGATGTAGGTGCGATTAGCTAAGTGCTCAAATTACAGAGGGCTGAAAGAGTCAGGCCCCATTACCTTTGCTGACAGCTCCTGTATTTAGAAGACTATGGGGGCATGATTTCACTATAGTTGGGAGAAGTCAGGGAGAGGGGGATTGTGGGTTTCATTAAGAGTCCTGCCCCAAGCTTTCCCTCCACAACTCAAGTATTGGATGAATGCAACCACTTAATCAGGTCATCAGAAGTACGTTCAAATATAGTTACATATGGAAAGGAATGGCATCACTTGTTGCTCACGTTACCACTTTTTATGGGGATGAAATTAGAAAGGGTTGTTTGACTGCAACTGGCAAGCCTAAAACTTAATCACAAATGCAACAAATTGAAAGACTTATTTTAATGCTGTTCCGAGGAAAGCTTGATTAGGCAAACAGCACCTATTTCTGAGTGAGTGAGTGAGTGCGTGAAAGAGAGATTATGTAAAGTTCCGTTCTTTATTTTAACTTTATTTTCTTTAAATCTGCCTTGCTAAGGGTGGCGTTGTGCTGACAACTACCCAACAGTCCGGAGGACTAATAGAAGCTGAACCACAATCAAGTGGAGAGCCATCTGATCCCTTGTTTTATCCTAGCTGGTATAAAACTCAGCCACGGCAAACAACCAATTCAAATGCAGTCCCAGTGACTGATATTAGGCAGGTAGGGCCTTCAGTTCCCGCAGAGGTGAATGTGAAGAAGGCAGAAGCTCCAGAACTAGCTATGGCAAATGGAAGTTCTGCTGCAAGTAGTAAGGAAGCTAACACACCCACTGATACTTCACAGGTTAGTATATAGCCTAAGAAAATGTTGCGTTACGATTTTACATGCAACATAATACGCAGGAGATGGGGGAATTCGTAGGAAAGTGGATTTCTCAATAAATCACTTTGCTAAATGAAACCCACAGTGAGGCACAAGTAGTATTGTAAAGTAGTGCATCGTATATTTGGTGGGGGGAGAGTGGAAATGACACAGAATACAATGTTTATTTTGTGCACTGTGTACTGGCTTTGAGACCTGGTTTAGTGGTAGCCAACACAGTGTCCTTCCGATACTGTTGGACAACTCCCAATTCTGGATGGAGCTGTTGAGAGTTGGAGTCCAATGATGTCTGGAAGACACCTAGTTGCCTGCCCCTGACCGAATCAGTCACTATGGAATGGTTTGATGCATGTTAGTTTCCTCCCCCAAGATACACCTTCAGCAGACAAGTTGTAATTTTCTTCTGAATTTTGCTCTCACAAGGTGATTCACATCACAGAAACATAAATATAAACACCCACCAAACACCTGTCTAACAATCTGCTCCAGATTTTGGGAGGCTCTTGGCAGTATCTATCCTGTGTTTGCCTTCTTGCTGCTATCATGACTGCCCATGTGTGTGCCATCCCTATGGGCCTAAGCTGCCCAGAGGTTAAGAGCAAACCCAACGGAGGCTGCTACTCTCGGTTCTTGTCACTGCTTGCATACTTGTAGAGGGCATGTGAGCAAGCAGCAGCAAGAAGAAGGAGCAAGGCCAAAGGCCTTTGGCTCAGCAATGGGCCTCCCGCTGGGTTGTTGGCCTTGGCAGATGCCCGATGGTGCTGCACCCTGAAACTGGCCTTGCTAGTTGCAGCCAACTTGAAACAGGTGTGCATATAATTACTCGAAAGTGACCTTGGAAGAGATGTTAGCACGTGGATATTAAGATACATGACTGCAATCCAAAGAATGTGCAAGTAGTTCTATGTGCTCAACAGGGCTCTGGACTTGGATTTCTCTAACATCAACATCTCAGCCAGCCCTCTCCCTGTCAAAGAAAAAAAAATGCTGCACAGAAAATAAGTTTGAAAATGCAGAAGAGTTTCAAAAGCAATTTGGGATATGACATGGGGTGCACTGCACACAAGCTCTTGAACAAAGTAATGCTTTGGATCCTGCCTCATGTCAACAAAAACTAGTTTTGGAAACAGTTCTTAGTTGGCCGTGTACAAGGTCAATTAAGAGCTGAAAGCATTTAATTGACCAGAATTTCATGCATGCAAATTCCAAAATAGCAACAGACAACTCTGTTGGTCTTTGTCCCTCTGTGTACACATCAGGCTGATAATGTAATTTTGCAGCTGCTGAATATACAGCATTTGCTTCTAATTACAACCACATCAATCACACATCTGGAATATATTGTCATAACTTAACCTCTTCTGTATGTACACTGTTTGATCTGCAACCACATCAGGTATCTTTTTTATCACTGTCATGAAAAGCATGGTGTGTTTAAAATTAATTTTGCATTGTCAATAACTTCTCCCATGCATTTTTCCTATTGTGTCTGTGCTATGGTCAGAACACAGTGCAATACAATAAAGTTACTTCCATAGAGGCTGCAATCCTATACACATGCCTACCTGGGAGTAAGTCGCATTGAACTCAGCATGGCTTGCACCTGAATAGACTTGAATAGGATTGCCCTGTAAATCACCACTGTTGCAATTTCAGTAAAATTGCAGGGTTGATGTCTGATATCTTTTACACTTATGATGTATTGAAATCCTTGTATATTAAAATAATTGGAAATTATGCTACAAAATCAAGATTTCATCCATAGTTATGTTAAGATCTCCCCCACCTCCTCAAATTTGCTTGTGAAAATCTATCATGTTCTTCAATGAAAGGCTCAAGAAAATGGTATGAATGCACCACACACAAACAGTATGCCTAATGTGTATGAACTCAACCTTGCATGTGTGAATGTCTTGAAACCTACAGTTTTAAAATATCCACTAACTTTTAACATAAGCATTTCAGAATACCTTTTGTCATTTTATCCATTATAAACACATTACAGAAAAGTACATAATATTCCTTTCTCTGAATCCCATGCATTTGTGTGTTGTGGATTGTGTTATGACTGAGCTGTGTAAGCAGCAGTCAGAGGTGAGCCAGGAGCTAAGAACCAGGAGTTGAGTCAGGTGTTTAGAGCTAAGGACCACCCAAAAACATGGCAGAGCCAGCCCAAGCAGGAAGATTTTTATTTCTCCTTCCTGTCCAGTATGACCAATGACCAACTTGAGTGGGTGAGTTCAGCGCAGAGCCTAAGAATGTGCCTATTTATGCACTGGGTATATTCTGGGGAATAGTTACACTTTAATTCATCTTTTGCAGGACATCTTCCTGTGGTCATGAAATAAACAATTTCTCCCCCACCCCTTTTCCTCAGAAAATTCTGCTGTTTTTAATTCAGTATCATACTTGTACAATCTCCCCTATCCCTCTGCTGTTCTGGCTGGTCATGGGCTGTATACATATTTTCTCTACTCATTGCATTCTCTATGGTTAGACTTATCTAGGAATTGATAACATTTCAACCCTTTCCTTTCCAGATAGTTTTGCCTTTATAGCCTTTTATCTTCTTCCCCTGCCCCTCCAAACTGCAGCAGGCAAGGGGTTCATGAAGTAAAGCGGGAGAGAGTATTTAACCCACTTAGCAATCCTACTTCTAACACCCTGTAGCTATTTCACTTCCCACTTAAAGCAGAGCAGCAATGATTGGGTGCTGCTAAATTGTCCACACTTTGAGGCACTGCCAGAATGTTGCTCCAAGCTGCAGCTCTGATAGAACATCATATGGGATGGACATACCAGACCTGAAGGCTCCTGGTTCTAGCCATGGCAGCTCCTGACAGATGGATGCCTTTAAACAACTGTTTTTTAAAGAGCAATAACAATAGGAATGTGTAAAGGAATAGGGGACGGAATAAGAACAGACAGTCAGGAGCAACAGCACTGCTCAGCTTTAACGCTAAACGAAAGAAAAACATACCCAAAGAAAATATGGGAGAAAACCTGGCATGACCATAGGGCTGGTTGGGACAAAGAATACAAGGTGAGGCCAGGAAATGATAGAAGGGAAGTGTCACAGCAGTAACAGAAGACATACCTATGCCACAGGTATAAACTGATTTGATTGCCATTCCTTCTCTAAAGGCAATCATGAGACAGGCTTGGTTCCAAAGTTCAGTGAGTCCTCTGCTGGGCTCACTCCTGTGGATGCAGTCACTGCCAGGCAGCTGTGTCTGAGCTACCATTTTAATTTCTCAAAATGCCTAGATACAGTGTCAGTAATGGCAGTTCAGTTGTGTAACCACACAGCATATGGAGCCCAATATTAGCCTCAGCGCAGTAGTGGGTCTGCCAGGGCACCAGGGGGCCCAGCAGCAGCTGTCCAAAGCTGATGCTGGACCTGCCTTGAGATCTGTAGTTCAAAGGAGCAGGGAATTCTCCCAACCTTCACCAGACTGTAATTCCCAGGGTGGTTTGGGGGAAGCCATGATGATTAAGCTGGTATAGAATAATACATGTTTATGATGCCCTGTATTATTTTGTTTAATTGTTAATTAAATAAACTCTCCCAGCTTTCCTCTCAAAGGGGTAGCTCAGGCACCATAGGAGGAAAGTTTCTAGCAAGTGCATTAGTTCTGATTTATGCCTGCCTGATATTTTACTGGTGCATGTGCTTCTTATGAGGACCAATCTAGCACAAAGTTGAGTTTATGCGAATTTTGAACCTACCCTGGGTGTTCTCATCATAACCACCCTTTTTTAAAAAGAAAAAGAAACACACAGACAACTGGGGGTGGGGGACAGAAAATGGAATGTCTTCTTCTTCACCAAACTTCACCAAATGAGCAATTTTCTCTGATGACGTTAGTGAAGTATTCTTCTTATTTCCTCACAGGGATTAGCATTCTGCCTCTCAGTTTTGGCTTTTCTTATCTTACTGCACCATCTCTGGAGTCAGATTCAGTACATGCTTTTTACTTTGAGGGGTAGGAACTGTTTTGTTTTATCCTTAACTAACAGCACAAGTCATTTCTGTAGTCATGCCTGCAGGTGGTTAGAACCAACCGTCCCATTCTTTTCATCCTAAAAGGACCATGCTGTCATGCCATACATGCTGCCTAAAGCTTTTCCTCTTGATCTCCCCTCCCTCTGAAATGTTACCCTGGAGTGTCATCCTGCATGGTGAAATATGAGACCTTTTAAGAAGAAGAGATAGATAGGAAATCCCCAATTAATCCCATGGATGGTGTATTTCAGATATTAGGCAGTCCTGACATCGTTGAAAACTGTAGATGTAACAACCCGTGGTTTCTTTTGCTGTACACATAAGTAGCCTTGAGGGTTCACCCCAAAGATGTGTATGTGTATCACTTTGAGTCTGAGGGAAAGGCTGTGAGGGAGGGATGCTGTTTGTGCTTTTGTATAGTGCTTCTTCTGTGGGGTTTTTTAAAAACCATTGTCAAGTAAATAGAAAAGAAATTACATTAAAAATAATCCAAGGGGAGAGAAAAATTTAGTGAAATTGTCAGGGATGGGCTGCAGGGCTTTTGATCTGCTTACTTTCAAGGTAGCGGAAAGGTTTTGTGAGTGTCCTTCCTATCATTCTGCAAGTCTATTCTCTAGTGGTCTGCACTCCGCAACCTTCCCAAGAGCCCATGCTTCCTGAAAACCCCATTACATCCTTGGCTCTAAGTACAAAAAAAATGGAGATTACCTACTGGGCACCTGGCACCTGGGTGTACAAAAAAAAGTTGCTCCCTTTTTTAACCTGAATGTTGTGGCCTTTTGCATTTAAAGAAATGAGTACAGATAGGTTTCCTTTTTAGAAGGTAAAAGGAAGCAGTTCCCTTAAAAACAAACTCAATGATTGTACTGCCTCAAGCCCTTGGTATCCAGCTATCTCAACTTCTCATGCTTCAATTAAAGCCCAGGGAAGATGTTAGGAAGTAACCTCCTATGTGGGCTTTTCAGATCAAGAAGTGCAGACAACTGGAGAAACTCTAGAGTGCTACACAGATATTTAATGGGGACACACACACACACACACACACACACACACACACACACATTGTAAGTTCAACCAAACACACACCACCTTTCTGAAGCCTGAAAAAGCAAAGCCCCTTTTCCAGAGAAAGAAGACTTTTGAGAAATTAGAGAACAGATTTTGGCACAGCGTAAAGCATGTGGGACAACTCCCATGGAATAGTGCCATTTCAGAATGCAAATCAGGGATTGCATGATTGAATCTCTGCTATGTCAAAAATTATTTACTTACGAGTTTTAGCCTACCCTATCCTTGGCTATTAATTTACTCTGTGCAGGATGTTTTATATTAAGTGGGGAATATTCAGACTTGTAATCCCCTGCCTACATTCTGCAATTCCATATGATTACCATCAGCTTCTTCCATCAGCTTATGCTATGGTAAGCATGAAACAAATATTACATTCATTATATTTCTTGGTCCTTCGTTAAAAATCTCAGAGCAGCTTACATAGGGTTTCCAAACATCCTTCCATTTAAATACTAACCATGCTGTGTCTTGTTTAGCTGTATAAATTGACCAGCATGTGGCCTCTGACTGAACAATTAATGTGAGGAATTATTTTTATTTTTTATTATTTATTGAATTTATATACAGTACCGTCCTATACCCGGAGGTCCTATGTACAAGAAATATAAGGTGCATAACTGATAGACATTTGGTGCAGCTGTCCAGAAGGTAACATTACCATGTGCAGTCACTGTGATGCTTGTGTATTTATTAAATTTTTATCCCATCCTTCATCCCAAAGGATGTTTGCGAGGCTCTTGCCTTGTCAGATGTTGACACAGATCAAATTAGCGTGTAAGATATTTTGGAGACACTCACTGTAGAGATCTCTACAATTGAATTCTAATCCATCATTTGAAACTCGAAGGTAGATGAATTTGCCTAAACTACTGGTGAATGAAATGATAGTCATGGAAAAAGTAATGTTATTGCAGCTGCCACCCCAACCCCCAGTATCTGGCTGTAACTTTATCATGGGATTTCTAGAGTCAGTCACATACCATAATAGAATGTATCTGCCACAATGCCCAAAGTATTTGGAATTAACATTTAAAAATACGTGTCTAAGAGATGGCATACATCAGACTTCAAGGAAGTCTGCATTTTGCTAAATCTCAGACAATTGCTAGTTATGCAAATGTACTTAAAGCACACAGTAGCTAATAAGATCATTAAAGAGATGGGACTGAAATATCAGACTGTGAATTAATGTCATGCCTCATTTGAGTCTCAAGTGATAAACTGTGATTATATTTAAGTTGCTGTCTAAAGTGCAGTATTTCACTTTTGGAATGATCTAGAGTAATTTCAGCACTTTAAGGAAAATTTCAGGATTCAGTTTTGGAAAATAGCTTTTAAGATGTTAACCTTTCCAAACTCAGTCCACCAAAAAAACAAGAATGTTCATCATGTGCTGTGCTTAATTTTTTTTTTAACGCATGAATATCAGTGAGTCAGATGGGATTACTCATATACTTAGCATTAGAAATTTACTGAAGTCAAGGCTAGATTTTAATATCATAGAGGCCTTAATATTGAATCATATCCCAGGGATGAATATGTTCCTGATCAGTAGATTATGGTTTGTCCTTTACCACCATTCACACATAGACATATATTCTTGTTCCCCCAAGCCAGTACTGCTCTTGAAATCTTCTGCATCACAAGCAAAATTCTGCAGTTGATGCTGGCTTGGCCAATAGGATACTACTACTATTCTAACCTGCTGATTGCCAGGTACATTGATCTTCAGTATTATGATAAGAGTTTCTAGTTTTATGATATGCTTTGAATGCTTGCTTATTCAACAATTTCCAAAGTGTTTTACCTACAGTGGTCAGGGAGAAAAATAAAACATTTTTTTCTGTTCAACTTAGAACCCTTGTTTTTCAAGCCTTACTCCTTTTAAGAGTTGGATAAATTGGGGCTACTAGCTAATAAATCACATAGGGAAGTCTTTCAAAAGAAACAGTAACAATGATTCCATGTTGCATCATTTTCAGACTAAGCTATAGGTTTTATAGAATCTTGAGTATAACAACTCTGAGTGTCCTGTTCTATTGCCAGATTCGGGGGGGGGGGGGGGAATCCCACATTAAATATTCTCTCTTTCAGGACCATCATGGCTCCAGGTCTCAAATGGCCAACACACCTAAACTTCCCTGGAGATTCCCCAGTCCAGCACATAAGCCTGAGAAGACTAAGGATATGAGAAATAGGGCTGTGCAACTGCTCTACCCAGATCCCAAACCAAATTAGACCAATTTGGGTCTACTCAGGATTTGGCTGGAGTAGGTTGAGGCAGACCTGAGTAGATCAGGTCCACCCAGAGCAATCTAGGGCTGTCCAAAGGGGTGTGGTCAGGCAGTGAAAAGAGTTGGGGTTTTCCCCTCCTCCACTGACCATATGTTTAAGCAAGCTTTAAATCCTTAATTAAACACTGTGCGAGGACCCTGATTTGGTTTGGGGTCTGGATCCTGGTCAGATTGGGGTCATTATGAATCACCAGATAGTGCCCTGAATTGGATCTATGAGGCCCTCTTACACAGACTTAGTTAGAAGGCCTCCATTTCCATTCCACCCCATATTTGTCACATGTAGTGCTGTTTCCATTCTGCTGCAGTTCAGCTTCCAACAAAAGTTATGCCATTTGCCTTGCTGCCCACTGTGGTGAAAAGTTATGCAATCAATTACATAGTTAACCATGTAATTACTTTACATCATCATTATGTTATTCCAAGCCATTCATTTCAATGCAAAGGAAACACAATGCAAATTGGGGGAAAGAACGTCACCAATTACATATTGTTATGCATCATTTGAAACTTTGCAGGAGTGGGGTGAATCCATGTGGGGGCAATTTGGAAGAGGGAAAGGATAATAGAAAAAGGATGCACTAACACATCCTTCCTTCTTCTTCAATTCTGATTACCCCTCCAAACATGGCTTTTCCTATAATAAAATAGCCAGTGGGTTACAATTACATGTGTTTGGCCCTAACAAACATAATTTTAAACATAATTAATTGTATATTTAAAATCAAGTAGCTCACCCTTGACTTCTTTCTTTTTAATCTTCCTTTCTTTTGTAGTTTCTGGAAATTGCTCTTGTGATTCAATCACACCAGTGTGGAGCTGTTGTAATGACAAAACGTTTTTGTAAGGTTCCCAGGCAATGCTTTTGCTATAATTAGTTTTGCCAGTGATGCCTTCCCCTAGCATTTAATAGTCACATCTACAAACTACATTGTGAGTCATGGGATACCTTCTGGTTTCTGAATTTAGACCTTTCCCAACAATCTTGCTTCAGAATGATGGCGGGTACAGATATTTTCTCTATTTAGACAACAGTGCAACCAGGCTGACCTGGCCTATGCACTTTGCTTCACTGAAAACTGAAAAATACTTGTCTTGTCATCTCTACGTTAATTTAAAGGCATTGTTGTTGTTGTTTTTAATGTAAGGAAACAACTGTTGTTTCTTTCAAAATATCATGGAATTTTTATCTTCTAGGTCCTGCCACACAGAATCATAGAATTGTAGAGTTGGAAAGGACCCCAAGGGTCATCTAGTCCAACCCCCTGCAATGCTGGAATTGCAGCTAAAATATTCTAGCCGTGCCTTTAGCACAGGATCCCTTCTTCTAGCTATTGGTAGGTGGGAGGAAAGGAGGGATTGCAGGACCCAAAGTCAGCTTTGTGAGCTGTCCTGGCCCCCTGGTGGTGCAGCGGTTAATTCATGGCAATCTCCCACAGCCACATCCCCTCTGAATAATAGACCTAGCAAAAATGAAGTGTGGCTTCAGCGCCAAGGCAGCTTTATTCTTAACCTTCCCCTGCCTCCTTTGGTTCACCTTCAGTGTGATGAAGGGTTACACCGGTCACTGTTCTGTGACATTAGAGGTGGGGTTCAACGAAATAGTTGCACAAGTGCAAGGAGGAGGGCGGGTGCAATGTAATTTTGTCTTTCCCCCATCTGCACCTTGTGAGCCCCCGAATCTGCTCTGGAAAACAGGAGAACCCCAAAACAGATTTAGGAATGGGCATAGGGGAAAACATCCTGTCATGCAAAGAGAAATCCTTGTGTTGACAGGGTGTTCTCTTTAGCACTGCCCAATGACCAGGGGGAAATAAAAGGGATTTTTCAAAATAAGAGTGGCTGCCAAACCCTCCACAATCAACATTCTTGTACAGGAAATGCCTGTTTTCCCATTTGGTATATACAGTTTTTATGCTGTACTTGAAGCAACTGCTGATATTGTGGAGCCATTGCATTAAAACGTTCACAGCACAGGGTTTTAGACCTGGGAAATGCAGTGCTAGCACATTTGCCCTGTGAAATATGCCTTTGCACATATCATGATTCAAGAGCACCTATTGGATATTGCATCACTAGTGGCGAGCGAAACAAATACATCTCCCTTTCCTTGGTTGCCTCTTTTCATGAATATTACTTCTGGTTAGTTTTGCTGTTTTATCAATTCTTTGGAGACTGTGCTACGCTCACTGTACAATTCTTGTATGGAAGCATGCATCTAGTTAGACTCATTTGTTTTTAAAAGAGACTTAACAACTATTCCCCTTCGTGGCAAAAATATTATTACATCTATTATATGGAAAGGTTAAATTTATTATACCCATTGTCACTGAAACGTCACTTGCACGGGAATATTGCACAATGGCTAATCGTTCTGTGATCCTGAAATTCCTATATTGTATCCAATTCTTTAAAACGGCAGAACTGATCTGTATAGGGGAATGCAGGGCAATTCTCACCATCCACAGACTAATTCATAGGCTAATGGACTCACTGGTATACTAATTTATCTTTTCCTGCCTATACCTTTAACGTCCTACATATGCTCAAAAACTCTTCTTGCTCAAAACAGTTCAAGAGCAGGGCAGATTTTGCCAAATTTAGGAAGTGCTTGGGAAGCATCATAGGGCATCTGTCAGCATGTAAAATGTCTTTCCTGTTCTTCCTGATGGTGCTCTTAATTTTCCTCTTAAAAGTTGTAACAGTACCAGAGTGAGAAAATGAGATTAAGGCCATTGCACTTCCTGGCAATAGTGGAGAACCTGTGGCCTTCTGAATTCTTTTGGATTACAATTCTCATCATCCCAGTCAGCAGAGCCAATGGGCAGGAATGATGGTAGCATCTGTAGGACAACTGATTCCCTACTCATGGTATGAAGGAATGGCTAGAGAATTGTTACTTTTCATTTTGCTTAAAAAGTAGCCATCAACCATAACCCAGAGATGGTTATTTTATTGGGTTCATTGAGTTACCACCCTTCTGCTCTTTCTTCATTATACTAGAATAACACTGCTGGAACAGGGCCATCCTTTTCACACATTGGCCAGCCAAATGCCCACAAGCAAGACCTGAGCGCAACAGCACTCTCCCCACTAGTGTTCTCCAGAAATTGGCATTAAAAAGTCATGCCACCTGCAGTACGTATGCAGCCATAATGACTAGTGGGCTTTGATTGCCTTATATATGTGGATTTGTCTAAACCTCTTTTAAAGTCATCAGCTTCCTAGTAATTAGTACATTCAGTAGTAACCAAGTCCTTGGTGCAACTATGCACCATGTGAAGAAGTACTCTCCTTTCTCGGTTCTGATTCTTCCTCATTCATCTGCAGGTCCTTTATGAGCAACTTTTAAAAATCCATCTCAATATTGAGCATTGTGGGACCCTGCTTCATCTGCTCTGGTCGTATGAGCTGAATGAAGTTACATTTCTTGCCTTTCCCATCCATTAGTACTCAGTATGACTCTAAGAGTGAGAAGAAAACACACCACAGATCCAACCAAATAAGATTTAAAGATGAAAACATTCTAGAAATAACCAGAAATCAGAGTAAAGAAAGATGTTGACATTATACTATGGACTCTGTCCAACTGCTGAGTAACTTCGAGGAACTAGAATGTGTTGATGGTCTTGATGCATCAGCAAGATGGTCTATTTATGGAGCTCTTACTGAATGGAGCTGGCCTCCATAGCATGTGCAGTATGCCCATAGCTGTTCTTACATGCCCCTCCTGGCATATTTGCAATATCTCAGCTTAGTCATTCATTCATGATCAAGCGATATGTGTATCCAAACCTTACAAATTATTCAGGCTTTGTTACCTGATCCAACGAATGAATGGTACAAAGCTCTGCCATGAGTCATAATCTTAAATGGGTCTCATTCATCAGGTCCTTTCAAAGAACAATCTATATTTTAAAGTGCCGTCTGCTTCTTAAGTGGCATACTTAGACAATGCTCTGCGTCACTGCTAGAATAGCTGCCCTTCTCTCCCACCAGAAGAGAATGTTTCTTTTGGCAGTTTTTGAGGTCTACGTCTTGTAACACACAGCTTGCAAGATCTTGACTTCATGATGTCTCTTCACAGTTTTCTTAAAGAGCATCAAACAAGCAAACAAGATGAGGACGAGAGAGTATAAAGTTAGCTTTCTAACATTAACACCCACAAGCTACTCTACATTATTTTTCAGAGCAAACTTGTATGCAAGCATTATGTTATCTCTAGTTAAGCAGCTAAACAAAAAGTTGTGAGCAAGTGATTCAGAAAGATGGTTTGATCACAGTCTATAAACCACACATTGATTTGGATGATACAATACAATGGATTACGTTTTCTGATTTGTTTTGTTTTTTACATGAAAGGGAGGCAGACAATTGTTTTTATGTGAGTATGATAGATTTAGATTATTGCAGTCCTATTAAAAAAAACACTTGTCAGCATATGTTTAAAGAATTCTGGAAACAGTCATTTAATTTAATGAACCACTAGAGTTTTCTGATAGAAGATTCACTGGACCTCTCGAGAAAGGCGAGAAATAATGACAAAATTATGTTTTCACTGCCTCTTTTTCATCTGCTGCAGTCAGTCCAGTGGCACACAACTTATTTTTGTTAGATATGAATGGTGAACAGGGCTTAATAATTCCCTAACAGCAGGTGGTAATGTTTATCCTATCAGAAAGTGATCAGAGAACACACCAGACAACTGCTAGACCAAGTGTCTCCTCCCTGTTTCCCCTTGAGTTTGAAAAGCATCAGACAGCTGGCTTGGTGCACTGTTCAGTTGCAGCATGCAAGATGCTTATGGAATCCATCTTGAGCCCTCTGCTGATGCTTGCCCAGTTCCCTCACCTGGGTGGAAGCCATCCCTATGGGATAAGATGTCTGTGAGAGAGATTGCTGCTGCTATGATAAAAGCACCCTGAGAATCATACACTACAGAGTAAGATGATAGGCAGAGTAAGATGTTTCGGGCTTAAATTTGTATTGATAGCTTTGTATAGAGCCACTGAGATAGATTAGAAGTGTAATGACGTGCGGCATTTTCAGCTGAGTCCACTGGAACATTCACACTTTATGGAACAGGGCTTACTTAAGGGTCTCCTTCCCCTGAAAAGGTTTCACCATTAGTTTAAGCTCCCTAAAGTATGCTTGACATTACATCCTTCAGGGAACTTACCCAGCCTACACACAAAGAGGAACACTGCATTCATTTCTCAGGACTATTTTTGGAATCGTTAAGGTTGTGTGAAATAAACAGCATTACATTATCCTTTTGCCACATAGCTCTAATTGTAACAGAATGAAAATCTATTTTGGTGAGACATTCAGTCCCCATGGGCGCGAAAAGTTCACGGCCAACCACCTTTCTGAGAATTGAACAGCTAATCTCATGATGGATGGAGTTTGCTGGTGCATATTTTACCTGCCTACAGTTATGTAGTTGAACAATTTATTTTATAAGAAAAGAGTTTCACTTGGCTCCCAGAGAATTAAAAATAGGCATAAGAAGAGAAGTCTTTGAGCTTATAGCTGTATTGTTATGATAAAAGTTGACAGCTGTAGGAAGTTCTGCTGAAGGGATTATATTACATTACCATGTAAACAGAAACTCTTTAGAGAAAGTTGAAATTGTTTTAAAATAACCTATAGTTACGTCTGCCATTCTATTTAAATTTTCAGTGGACAAAAAATAGTTTCTGACCATGGAGAAGAGCCTATGTTGTAAGTAATAGATTATTAGCAGACAATGCATATTGTAGTGGTGGGAACATAAATTTGACAGACAAGGGTTGAATTCAAATCAGTACAGCCCTGATGTGAAAATTTTGCAAATAATGAGTTTTTAAGACAATACTTTTAAAATTAATTGAAGTCAAATTCAGATTCTGGTTGTGAATTTTTGGGTGCAGGCAGGCAAATGGATGAAGCCCAGGCTTCAGTGGCAAAATTTGAACCACCTTTCATCCATTACATTCTTTTTCTAGAATGTACCGGTAACTTTTATTAAGCGAAATTATAACATTTTTTATATATGCAAAGTGCCATTTCAGCAGGAGTTTAAGACTGGGTTTTCCTTTTCTCCTTTACTATTAACATGAAACACATAAATTAAATTACCTACATTCAAATGCACTTCTTGTTTTCTAAAATCATATATTATTATATAATGGAATATGTGATTTTCAAAAACAAGCAGTGTTGATATTATATAGCAACAAATTCAAAGGACATTTAAACTGCAATTCTGTCCCTATTTATCTGAAATTAAGCCCCACTGAATTAAGTGGGATACTTATTTCTGAATAGGCATGTGTGTTCTTATACTAGACACATACCAATCAATTTGCCTTGTGGAAGCGTTAAAGTGCACGATTCATGCCGTAAAGCTCTTGCTGGACTATATCACTTCAGGCTGGAGGTGAGGAATTGCATTTTTTTATGTGCTTGCATATAAAGAGGACCCCTTATGTGAGGGGAAAAAACAGCTAGAAAATTGGTGCAATAGGTTCTGAGAGGGAAACTCTTAAACAAAAATTACAAGTGTGTATGATGTTTCTGGATCATGTCTGCTGAGTGCTGGAGTGATTACCAAACATTGTCATTTTAAGTAGAAAACTTTAACAAAAGCAAGTGGTTTTTTAATTTTGTTAAATGTGAATAAGATGGAAAGTGTGGAAATGGAGGATAGGATGGGTGGTTTTAAGGAAGGATCAGCAATGTTTTCTTGATGGTTGCTTAAGGATTGCCTGCCACTCAGAATTTACTAAAAAGGGAAAGAGTGCAAGGGGATGATGGATAAAACCAGAATAGCCCATTGATAACATTGCTAATGTTATCAATGTGGAGTGAAAGTTTGTATCTCCTGCACAGTAAAAGCCTCATACTCAGAGGTGCCAAATGCCTGCACTATGGAAACCAGCTTAAACTAGTGCAGGAATTGTCAGCAACTTCTGCATTCCTGGGACCTATTCTGTATTCGAGACTGGGATCCAGTGCCATTCTGCCACACAAACTCAGCTTGTTCCTGGGTGGTCAAACTATTAAAATTCTCGGTTCTATGCCCTCTAGCAATAAAGCTTTCATAGTGGAATGCACATGGCAGAATGAGCACTGACTAGGGAACTGCATTTAAAGAATACGAAACCAGATAGAGAAGCAGTCTCCCCAGGTAACTTTTTTCACTGCTCCCTGTTTTGCAGTGCCAGTCTTCCTTTGGTGTAGAGTAGCAGTCTTCCCAACACCTGGCAACCACATCCCCCCATCAGAATGACACAAAAATGTCACATAGTGTCAGTCTTAGGGTATTTTGGCAGGGGGCATGGTGGTGGTTGGCTGCTGTTAGAGGAGGAGTGCAAATCCCACCACCTGTACATTCAGCCAGCTTTCATTCCTCTGAATTCAAAAATCACCCAAATGACACACACCCCGTCAATGGTGGTAAAAGGGGCAGGGATTTTAGCACTATGGGACCAACCCTGTTCTCTGTTCTCTGTTCCTTACATAGAAAGATGCCTTATACTATCAGACCATTGGTCCACCTTGCTTGGTATTTTCTACGTCGACTTGCAGTAGCTCTCAGGATTTCAGACAGGTTTCTCTCCTAGTCTTACCTGGAGATGCCAGGATTGAACCTTGGACCTTCTGCGTGCAAAGCAGATGCACTGAGTTATGGCCCTTCAAATAAGGGCATTAGCTAAAGCAGGAGTGCGAACCTTTGGCGCTCCAGGTGTAGCTGAACTACTACTCCCATCAGCCTCAACAAGCATGCCTGATGGTGAGGGATTATGGGAGCTGTAGTTCAGCAATACCTGGAGGGCCAAAGGTTCCCCACACATTAGCCAAAAGGTGTCATCTTCCAAAGAGATATTTCCCAACAAGCAAGGGACATAATTTTTAAACCCTTGATGTCCCATTAGTTCAGTTCACAATAATCAACAGTTGTATTTGTTTACTCTTGCTCAGCTATGCCACTGAAACAGAGGGTACAAGACTGAACTGTAGCAAAAGTGAAATTAAGATGTGTCCATTTAAAAACCTGTGCTAATAAGTGTACAGAATTATGTGCCCACATATTGTACTTGCAACAGTATTACTTCAAAAGGATCATCCTTATTAGGATGGTATTTTAGAGTTGGGGCCCTATAGAATGAATCTGCTTGGTGCAAAATCCATTTATGATGTTCCTTATTTAAAACTAAGGATCTGGTCCTTGAAAGAAAATGCAAAACTGTTATTAGATAGAAAGAAGCAAACTACTTTTTTCACACCCACTAGGCAACAGGTCTTGTTTTGCAAACAGCATGACTCTAAGCCAACTAATACCTAACAAGTCATCATTCCTCACTAACTTGGTTTAAAATTTAACACTGTATATTTACAAACGATGCTTGGGACATTGCCAGACCATCTTTATCCCATATAGCAGTTCATCATAAGCATCTGTGATAGAAACAGTATTTCAGGTATAGGAGACCTATGGCTCTCCAGATGTTGCTGAATTGCAACTTCCATCATTCCTGGTTGTTGGCCATGCTTGCTGGGACTGATGGGGACTGTAGTTCAGCAACACCTGGAGGACCAAAAGTTCCCCAGACCTGCTGCATAAGTTTGTGTTTTCTGATGAGCTATTTCAAGGTTCTCTACATCTTAGAGATATAGAGCCATGGTGAGGTGCAGCATACTCTTTTAAGAGTAAGGAGGGAAGTGCCCTGTGTATTGAACATCTTTGTGTGCTCTGGGTTTAGTGAAAATTTGGAAGATGCTTCTGTTGAATTTTTCTTAAGGTAAAAAAGGATGTCCTGGTTGGCATCTCTATTAACCATCAAGCTAGAGTACAAGTGCTATCTGAAGACTTTCTATGACCAACTTAAGAAGCATAAAATCATAAGTTCTGTTGATTTCATGGGACTTCGGGTTTACTTCCAGAAGTCCAAAGCAATTGATATAAGCTTTTAATATTATTCTACAACAATGTTCAAAAGGTTCCAAATAACTTTGGATAGCCATTTCTTAATCTTTTAATGAACACATGGGCCTAGCAGAGTTCTCCTCATCAAACCCTGTTGAAATGAATAGGAGCTGTGGAAGATTACATACTGCTCTCATTCATCTCAATGGGATTTGTGCAAGGACATTTTCTGCTGGGTTATGTTTAAAACAGCCTTCCTCAACCTTGTATCCTCCAGATCAGGGTTTCCCAGACTTGGGACTTCAGTTGTTTTTGGACTACAATTTCCACCATCCCTAACCACTGGTCCTGCTAGCTGGGGATGATGGAAATTGTAGTCCAACAACAGCTAGAGACCCAAGTTTCTGAAACCCTGCTTCAGATGTTGGATTCCAACTCCTATCTTCCCTGCTCATTGGCCAAACTGATCGGGGCTGATGAGAGTTGTATTTCCAAACACCTGGAGGGTACTAGGCTGAGGAAGGTTGCTCCAAAGATGTTGTGGTGTTTATGTATTTATTTTCCACAGCCATCAAATACTTCTAAATAATTGTTTTTGATGGAACTGAGTAGTCAATATGTGTAGGTGCAAGATGAGTTTTCAGATTTTCCCATTGTAAATCTTTATTCCTCCACCCCTAGACTGGGTCTGAACCATCCCCTCAAGGGCACATGGAAGGACGTCCTGGGAGCAATGAGAGAGTTGATGAGCCGGCTCGTCATGTCTTCTCTTTCTCCTGGTTGAACTCATTGAATGAATGATGACTCTCCATCCAGCTGGTTTCTGGAAGGATTCATAGGAAGCATGTGACTTGGCTCAAAGTGATAACAAATACTGCATTAAAAGGAATGGTGGATCACATTTTATCCCAAGGATTTTGTTTGAAAAATTTCTCATTGGATTTGACTCTGTAATATTTGTTTGCAATTTGGGAAAGGGGTGGGAGGGAAGAAGGAATGTAAGCTAATAGCTGATCATGAACCAATGGAGGATCAAGTTCCTACCAGCTTTGGAGGTAATGGCAGGTATCAAGTGGTGACCTTATTACTTGTCAAGGTCACCTCATTGGCTAGGTACTGAGTTTATGTGATAAGGCTTTATCTAAGAAAGGTGATATGTGATATAACAAGCTATTGCATGATTATTGCAATTGATCCTAAGTGTGCCGCAGCAAAATTAATGTCAAAAAATTATGCGAAGAAAAGAAAGCAGCACAATACTGTTTTTACAAGTAAAGTGCTAAAGGCACACAAGACACATCTGTAAATTGGGGACTTCTATACGCAGTTTTACAGGAGTGGTTTACCAATATTCTTGCATAGCTGTTTCCTCACTAAAGGCATTGTTAATAAACTTCACATTACACAGGTTGACTCTTTACCTTACCAGCAAGCTTTTCAATGGATGTGCATTGGCAAAAGCCACACATTATAAGGCAGGCACAATCTCCACCAAGTGACACAATTAAGCTCTGCCTAATGAGGGTTTGGAAACAGTTCGATGGTGGTCCCCTACACTGCATGGCAAAACCACATCTGAAATCTGGAAGAAGGTTCTTAAGCAGTTTGTAATGTGCTAGATGGAGGAGTTGCTTTCCGAACAAATTATGTCTGAAATCCAGTGGTAGTAGAACCCTTGGATGTGTTTAATGAAATGCCCTGCATTGTGGTCTAAATGCTGACATCCTGTTGATCATTATGAATGCGTACAGAGTGACATCATTCACGTTTTGTACTCAACAACATCAGCACACTCTTCATGTAATGACATACCCTACTATAGTAAGATTAAAATTAAGTGACGGTATATGGGTTTCCTCCACCACTACCATTTGATCCTCACAACATCCCTGCGAGATTGGTTAAGCTGAGGAATAGTGGCCGGCTTCAAAGTCATCCAGGGAGCTTCATGGTTGGGTGGCGATCTGAACCAGGGTCTCCCTTCCTAACCCAGCCCTGGTCCACTGCTAACTGCTCCAGCACGCTGCTCAAATGAATGAAGGAGTGGAAGGGTAGGGTGAGGTGGGCTGGAATAACTTTATCCCATTGTGAGACCACCAAAGATGGCTAAGGTCTGTCTCAGGGAGCGATGCATCCATTACTTCAGGGTTAGCTCATAAGATCACAAAACAGAGGCTAGAGATCTGCAAAAATGGGGAAGTCAACTCTCTGCTTTTATCGTGCTGTACTCTCTATCCCCTTCAGGCTCCTTCGGCTATGAGTGGAAAAGTTGACCGGCCTCTCAATTGCCTAAATTGTGAGAGGACATTGGGGGAAGTCTAACTTGAAAAATACCTAACAGCTCATTCAGAAATGTGCGTCTTCTTCATCGATCTCCATTGAAAGATTTGTCAGCAACAGATTTCCGTCCAAGTTGGCTCAGTTTCAACTTTTGTAGCCACAGCTTCTTTCTTTAAAATAACTTTGTCATGGGCTCTTTCTCCCCCGCTGCCCCTCCAAAACACCCAAAATGTAGTAAGCTAAATTTCAGTGAGATGAAACCGGTTTTCGCATCAGGTTCGAAGACGCAAAGCAAAGGTGGAAAGAAGTTGTGTGTTAAATCGGAACGGATTTTTGTGCGTGGAAGGAATGTAAGTATTGTGGATGCATAACGTCAGATCTGAGTATAAACGAAGCGATGTCAATCCCACTTGTGTTACTGAAAGGACTTAGGAAGGGGAGGAAGGATGATGAGTAGAGGTCTGAAGAACAGATTTCAGCTGGAAATCGTTTTCTCTGAACTAACGAAGCTGGGTTTCTAAGGGAAACGTCGACTGGTCAGTGAAACATCCACTTCATCTACTCCACGGGTGGATTTTTAAACTTTGTGACAAAGCGGGCCAAGGGCAGTCCCCTGGGAGTGAGCCCTATTGAAACCAGTGGATCTTACTTTCGTGTAAAGGTGCGCTCAACTCGAGTGTTAAGAAATGCTCCTATTCCTTGCAAAGAAGAGCAAGGACTCACCCCCACCCCACCCGGGCTAACATGAGCACCCTGCGGAGTTTACTTTGGAAAACAAGGGTGGGGAATCTGTGGTCCTCCAGGCGTCGTAAAACTACAACTCCCTGGCCATGGTGGCTGGGAGTGTCCTAAAATGAGAGGAGACCCAGGGACTCAGCCTTGGCAAGAGGTCTCTTTCTCCCGGCTGAAAGCCTTGCCCTTTAATCCTAGATGTGTGAGGATAAATTCGTTAGCATTCTGTATACGCCCAGATGCACTCTCTCAGGGGTAACTAAGATCTGGATTTCCTAGTAAATTTTGAGTCAAATGTAGCACCGGAACTGCTGAACTTCCAAAGCATTGTCCCGGCACCCCACCCCACCCGTCCCGCCCCGTTTCTTACACTGTACTATTTCCTAACCTCCCTTCACCTCTTTCCTATAGATAGGTTACCTATGGTCGGATGCTGTTCCGCCTTAGTCCCACTCAGCCTCTACTTCTCTCTATGCCACGATCGATGCATTCGCCACTGACACGTCTCCGAGGCAAGGAAGTGTAGGAAGCCGTGGTTCCTTTGCAGCTTTTATTAAAAATATAAATATTAAACGTTCTCTTACACGACCAAATCGACCGAGCGCTGAAAAGATGTTTTATTTGTGGAAATGTTTACAAAGAAGAGAGAGAGAGAGAGAAAGGAGAGTGGCTTCCAAATAAAAAACAAAATAAAATAAATAAAGCTCAATACAGAGGAGGACGCCCCAACCCTCTCCCCCGCCCAACACCCCAAAAAGACAAGGCTCTCTCTCATTCGCCCAGCTTCCAGTGGCTGAGCCACTGGACCCCACCCTCAAAGAGTTGCATTAATCGTAACAACGAGGGAAGAGGAAGGGGGGGACAAAGAGTTAGGACAGCAAGTCACAAACGACACTTGGGTACAACGCTGGGCATGCTACTGACGCGCTAGGTTAGGCTGCGTGTCGACTGGACACTCTCTACGTCGATCAAGCTCTCGGTGAAAAGAAGAGGAGAACAGCACGAGGGAATCTGTGTAAATATCGTGTGCGAACTGGAGGATCTCTTTGGTAGGGGGCGGGCGGAGGGCAGAGAGCGCTTCATTTCCCGATGGTCTCCAGCATTTTCCTGTTGCTCTCGACCTGCTGCGACAGCTGCTCCGCTCGGGCCATTTCCAAGAGTTGCCGGAGGAGGTGGAAAGTCAGGTCTATGGAGATCGGCGAGTCCTTGGACGAGCGCTTCTCCTTCGGGGCGGCGTCGAGGGGAGCGCCGCTGTCGTCGTCGCTTGGCCAGGGCTCGGCGGCGCCCTCTAGCGAGCGCTCCCGCACGTTCTGCAGCTGCTGGACGGCCGCTCGGAAAAAGTTGCCGGCCGAAGCAGACGCGGCTAGGTGGCTGCCGCCCGAGGCGGAGGAGGAGAAGGAGAAGGCGGCGGGAGAGGGGGTCTTGTGCAGGTTGCCCAAGCGCACGAAATACTCTTCTCCCACGCGGAGCAAGATGGGCAGCGCCTGCGGCTGCTCTTGCAGGAGATCCGGCTGCTGCAGAGCGGGGTCGGCTGGGACGCTCTTGCCGAGGGCTCGGCACTCATGGCAGGGCAGCAGAGCGACCAGCAGGATCCCTGTAGAGACCAGCAGCTGGATCTTCATGATTCGGCGGCCAGATCTGGAAAAGTCACAAGAGGGGGAGGGGATGGGCATACAGAAGTTTGCTGTCAGACGGACTCCCGCTCTTGGGTCGGCAAACCCTAGCGAGGGGAAGGGGAAGGTATCCCCGCCGGCAGCTGCTGCTGCGACGGTCGCTGTCCGCGGTGCTGAAGGTCTTCCCTAGCTGTCCCCTGCCCTATCGCAACTGTGAATTCATCTGCACCATGGCCCAGTCAACCCAGTCAAATCCGCTCACAAGGGGAAAGTTTGCACCCTCCTCTTTGGGTCAAGGGCTGCCTCGACATCCGTCTTTATTAAATGCATCGAATAGAAAGAACACGATGCTTTAGCACGCAGCATAGCAATTTATGGGCTAGGCTACTTACAGGTCAGAGCACTGGACAGGTGGTACTTTAATCAAAACCTTAGTATAGGAAACCCAGGTGTCTCAATCATTCAGAGCAAGCGAAGTAACACCTTCCTTCATTTCTTTTAAACGCTGCTCGACTGCTTCCAGAAAACCTTCTGTTGCCCTTAAATAGCCCTTTCTATCATGATCCCAGAACGACTTTTTCTTTAGACTACACACACACACACCACACCACCTGCGCTTTAATAACACACACTTATCCAAACTACCCAGCGGCAGTATCTTCTCAAGAGAAGTTTGCCTTTTGTGCATGTGAGGCTAACCTGGATATTTTCATACCTTGGAGATGCTGGTGAAGTTTAAGCCGGACAGGTGGAGTCGCTCAGCAGTTGGGTGCCCCCTTTCGTCTCCCTCTCAGGATGCGTATCTATTGGAGCCGTCTTCTGCCGTCCTTGTGATCAGTTTGCTTCCTAATCAGAGCCCGGGTGCGGGATTTTTATAGGTTAGACCCTCTTCTGGAATCACGCAGCCCTTGCCTAATAAGCTGACGCTTTCTTGACAGCTCGCTTGCGTGCCCCGATCCACTGCTGAATAAATCATGGGGGCCGTTTCAGAGCAGCAATGGGCAACGTCCTGCTATCACAACCCAGAATCTCACATCCAATTATATCAACAGATATTTATCGCCTCGTTAGTGACGTCAGCAAAGCCCGCGACCGGGGAGGGGGGATCAGCGGGACACACTTCCCATTGACAAAAACCCTTGAATGAAGAGTTCCCAAAACGCGTGGGGGGTGGGGTACAACAGCGAGCGCCACCTTTTACTATCACAGGTCAAGGTGACCAAAAACTTTCCACTCTGGTCTCAGGAGAAAACCGTCTATAACCGAATCCAGCTTGTCGAGTGCATACCTACAAAAGGCAGAATGCCTCGCCTAAATTCCTTCCAATGGAAAGTTATAGGAAGAAGCAAATATGGAACATAAACTACCTTATGCTGTGTCAAATCACTGGTCTATCTAGCTCAGAACTGCCTACACAGACCGGCAGCAGCTATCCAGGATTTCAGCCTGGAGTTTCCCCCCAGCTCTACCTGGATATGCGGGGACTGAACCGTCTGCATGAGAAGCAAATGCGCCCCTCTCCAAAATAAAAGCTGGTCTAGCGGACAACCACCTCTCCTGATCTGCAGGAAAGGGAAACCAAGCATCTAATACTTAAGCATTGGGAAGCACCTGTCTGAAAGACAAGCTAGTGACAAAAACTGCCTTTTTAAAATGAGAGTTCTCTCTATCACCAGCCTTAGAAGAGGGTATGTGGGTACCGGCAATATTCTAGCAAAACCTGGCAAGGAATTCTCGTCGAGCTGAGAGGTGAACCTGGCAGACTTCTCGGTCAGCCACATTTATTTGTGGGTCCCATTAACTACATTAGAAGGTGCTTCGAAATAATTCCCATAGAAATGATTCGAAAGGCAACTTGGGGCAGGGGTGCCCAGCATATATTCTGTTATCTGGAGGCACACAAGGAGTAGAGGAAGCAGGGTATCTGCTGGACATACGTATTTTCGAGCTAAGTAGATAGATAGATACTTCCAATTTTCACTTGGCTGCTTTGTGATCTGAATGATGTGGTTTCAGTATATGGAGAGCATCGTACCACTTTGGTGTCGGGGAAGACGCTAGATTTTGGAGGAAACCAAAATATCATGAAACTCAACCCAGCTCTGACACATGACCCCAGCTGCATAATACCATACCACTTTAAACTCAGGGGGTTGGACTCGATGGCCCTTGTGGTCTCTTCCAACTCTATGATTCTATACAATCATGGCTTCCTCCAAATAATCCTGGGAACTGTGGTTTGTTAAGGGTGCTAAGAGTTGTTAGGAGAACCAGAGTCCACTCACAGAGCTACGATTCTCAGAGCGGTTTAGCAAGCAATCCCCCTTCCCAGGGACCACTGGGAATTGTAGCTCTCTGTGGGGAATAGGGGACTTCTAACAACTCTCAGAACCTTTAACAAACTACAGTTCCCAGGATGCTTTGCAAGGAGCCATCGCTGTTTAAAGTAGCATGATACAGTGAAGATGAGGCCATGTGTCAGAGTTGGGTTGGACGGACTTCATAATCTTTGGTCTCTTCCAAAATCTAGTGTCTCTCCCTAACAAATATACGCCCCACCCGTTTATCCTGTTGTAGTAGCCCTGTTCTTTCTGCCATTTTCTTGCCCCCTGATTCTCAAATGACATTTGAAATGAAACTAAGTCCTATCATCGTTCTCTAGCAGGTAAGGAGTTTAATAAAGCTGAGGATCCTTGACTGCCTTCCTTTATTATGCCTCAGGTTCCCTTAGTGCAGATTAATGCTCCAACTTTAACCCACACATCAGCCAAATATCTCGTGGGATACAAAAGTAGAGGGATTCTCCCTGCTCGGTTTGCTTGTGTCTGTAGCAGGGACCCAAAATATACATGGCAGGTTTCTAAAACCTGGATGCGAGTTAATACGAATTCGTCGTTTCTGGGGGTTTGTTTGCTTGCTTAAAATGTGAATTTGTGTGTGTGTGTGCGTGTCTGCCAGCGCCACAATGCATAATGCCCTTAACCTTTCCGGAGCAGGAAAGAGATTGGAAACTTCGCGCAGCTGGTTTCGTCTTCCTTGGTGAGTGACACAAGAGTCTTTGCCAGAGATGTCTCATCAGCTGCACTTCCCTTCTCCCAGCCCCCGCCTGTGTGAGTGTCTCAAACGGCATGTTGATTCCAAGGGAGAGGAGGGCTCGGTTAAGCTGGAGGCACTTGGCTCTCGCCACCCAGGGATGCAAAGCGCAAGGGAGATGAATGGCTGTTGTTAAACCCCATTCAGTCGCAATCCTGGAGTCGTTGTCTAGCTGAAGAGCAGCAACATTGTGCTTGATGATCCCGTTGTTTTCTCCATAGCGAGGATGGCGCTGTAATCAAAAGCGCTCTTTAGCCCTCCATTCTCCAGTCCCCCAGAGCCCTTAGAGGAGGCTGGCTGGAAGCGCCTTCATCTCCATACTACAGACATGGCCCGCAGAAGGACAAAACAAGGGTGGGGGAACTGCGGAAGTCTTCTGAAATCTTTGCTCAAAGGACAGGCAACGCTGAATTTTAACTGCTGCATAGAAATGAGACATGGGCAAAAAATATTCCAATCTCAAATTTCTTTCTTTATCCGTTAGGCAGGATTTTTTCCCAGGGGCTGGGGGGGGGGGTAGACAGCCTGTCACCACCTCTACCAGAAATGGCAAATACTCCAAACAAGCAAGCAAGCAAACATAACTAGAACAGGCCAACAATTTCTGGTAGATCTGGCAACAGAAGAGGCTGAGTGTTTACTCCACTGGGTGCTCACATTGCTGGCTTGTGGAGCAGTGGACACGGGAGGTTAGCCGCAAGGTACATCTATCCTGAGGTTCCTTGAGAAATGTTGCTTTGTGATGCATTTCTCTCCAAAACAGCCTCAGTCTGATTGGGAAACATAAGCCATATGAAGACCTCCATACACTTGGTGTGGATGGACAGGAGATAACTTGGAAACACATCAAACTGCATGAATGCGTGCAATGATGTGCAAATGTGGCCTGAACTGTAGCTGGAGGAAAAGGAGGAGGGCCTGTTGCATCAGGCCAAGGGCCCTCCTAATCCAGCATGCTGTTCTCACAGTGGCTACCCAGATGCCTGTAAGGAGCCCTCAAGCAGGATTCAAGCACGAGAGCACTCACCCTTCCTGTGGATCCAAGCAACTGGTATTCAGAAGCTTTGCTGCCTCCAAGAGGCAGAGCAGAGCCATTATGGCTAGTAGCAGTTGATACTCGCCTCCTCCATGAATTTGTCTAATCCTCTTTTAAAGAGATTTAGGTGGGTGGCCATCACTGCCTCTTGTAGGAGCAAGTTCCATAGTTTAACTAGGGAAGGGGTGATTTCACTGTACTTTAAGCTGGCAGCATGTACGCAGCTTGACCCCTTCAAAACTTGAATTCCAGGTCTTCCCCTCCATTGCTTCTCAAGGGGTAGACCTGCTTCTCCATCTATGGGGAGACCTGGCATCCAGCCCATGTATTTTCACTGACCGATGGTACCTTCAGTTCTTTCTCTGGCTTCCTTCACCCCTTCAGCCCTTAATTAATTGTACTGCTGTGGCAGATAACTTAACAGGGAGAGTGGGAATTATATTTCCATTTTTTAAAAAAACAACAACACCCCAGCATGCAATGATAACAGCATTGGACCACATTGGAGGGTTAGCCAGCAAAATGGGTATAATACTGGGTTACTTTGCAGAGCTGGCATATCACATGCTCTCTCAGCCACAATGTCATTACCTGCATTGGACTTTATCTGCACTGGCATTAACAGAGTACTTTTTAAAATTGTTTACAAACTTGACAGGGAGGTGTCACATCTTTTTGGTATGAAATAAGACCTGAGTTAGAAAGATCATGATCTCCTGTCATTGCTGCTGTCTTCCCCCCCCCTTTTCTTTTGGCACACTAGTCCCCAGCTACACTAAAATAATTGATACCTGTATTATTTTCTGTGGAGCAGCAGTCATTATTACATCAGAGGAGACCAACATAAAAGCCTTAAAACAGGCATCGGCAAACTCATCCCTCCAGATGTTTTGGGACTACAACTCCCATCATCCCTAGTTAACAGGACCAGTGGTCAGGGATGATGGGAATTGTAGTCTCAAAACATCTGGAGGGCCGAGTTTGCCAATGCTTGCCTTAAAACCAAACCGGGAAGTTCCTTCTCAAGAGTCTCAGCCAGGAGTAGCCAGCTATGTATCCTCCAGTTACTGAACCACAACTCCCATCATGTCTGACCATTAGCCATGCTGGCTAGGACTGATGGGAGATGCAGTCAAACAACATGGCAATGGCTAGACCATGGGTAGGCAAAATAAGGCCCGGGGGCTGGATCCAGCCCAATCGCCTTCTAAATCCAGCCCGCAGACAGGCTGGGAATCAGCGTGTTTTTACATGAGTAGAATGTGCCCTTTTATCTAAAATGCGTCTCTGGGTTGTTTGTGGGGCATAGGAATTTGTTCATTTTTTTTTTCAAAATACAGTCCGGCCCCCCACAAGGTCTGAGGGACAGTGGACCGGCCCCCTGCTGAACAAGTTTGCTGACCCCTGGGCTAGACAATGGCTGTTTCACTCTAGCCATATATTTGTCTAATTGGCTAGACCTGCTTTCCTAAATGTCAGTCATCGCTATGACTTCATTTCATTAGCTAAGAATGCCAAAAGGCAGGCTCAGGTTAGTTAACAAAACAAATGAGAAAAATAGTTCCTTCATGTTTTGTCTCATAACTCAGACTTTACAAATGGTAGAAACTTACTTAAAAAGAAGCTAGGAATCTAGTTACTGTGGGTCATTGGTGGGTGGGGGTTCTTCTTCCTACCTCTGTGGCACCGCGACCAGTTTGATGGTGGTGACTGGGGTGCAGCTTTCAAGTTGTGTTAAGGATCCCGATGTAATGGAAGACTCCTGGTCTCTAGGGAAACTTCTAAACCACTGTGAAAGCATCGTGATAACAGCAGGTTTTAAAAATGTGTGCCCCAAAAATCTGCTCCAGATTTCCAACTCTCTGGAGCTGATTTTGAGGATGCACAGAGGTCTGGAGGAGAGAGGAGTGGGAGAGGAGGTTCGGTTGCATGCCCAGAAGTCCGTCACAGCAGCATAGCTGAGGAATTGGATACAGCCCTTTGATTTCAAGTCCTAGTGAGTTTAAGTCCCTTGATTTCAATGAGTCATTCTAAGCATGATCAAAACACCATATGCTCAAAAGAAGCAGTTTACATCTTCAGGTGGGATTCTGGGAGCGCATCTGCTACTCTCCATATTCTTGTATCCATAGGTATTGATGCCTTGCAGCACTCTGAAAAAAAGAAATGTCTGTCTCCAGTCTCGAAAGAAACCCCACTAAGCACTCCCATAACACTTAAGGATCATTGCCAACATAAACCAACAGCTTGCCCTTCTTCACATCTGAAATGAGGCTGATGTCAACAAGGGTGAGGGCTTTTTCAGCTGCGGTACCTACCCCAACTTTGGAATAACTACTACTCTTTAGGCACTCAGCAAAAGCATTGCTGTCTATCCCAGGGATAGCGAAGTTGGTAGAGCATGAGACTCTTAATCTCAGGGTTGTGGGTTGGAGCCCCATGCTGGGGGAAAAGATTCCTGCATTGCAGGGGTTGGACTAGATGACGCTTGGGGTCCCTTCCAACTCTATGAATCTATGATTTTATTATGATACCTAGGTATCATAATATTTTGAGGGGGCCTGATCACTTGTGTGATGAAGATTATGTACAATTGTTAAAAATAAAAATAAGTAGAGAGAGAGAGCCATCAGCAGTCAAGTAATGTAAGTCCAACCAGAAATTTAAGGTCATTTTGTAGCAGGACACCATTTTTTAATCTGTCTGCTTCTAAGGTCCATGCACACGTGGAGGAAAACATCCAGTGGTCTAAACTAGTGGGGAAATCATTTGAAATTTACTCAGTACTTCATGGTTCTTCCTCTAGAGTACTATTCCTTAGCATGTTTCTTCACCTTTCTTAAAAGATATGCAATCTCTGACAACCTTTTTTTAAGACAGTGAGTCCCTTTTAGAATCCTCTTTATAAAGAGTTGTAACTAACCACAATGCATAAAATGTAAATGTTTCAACAGCCCCAGTGACTGATCTTCTATTCTGCTCATCCCTTCTTACTTCCTGTCCTTACAGACTGGGGTCGCTCTCTTGCCTTGGGAGTTTCTGCAGCACATCACAAAGGCATGTCCAGAACTGACTTACTAAATGTGGAAAGCGTCATCTTGGTTCTGCGCACAGATTTTATTTTTTCAGAGGTTGAGGACAACATTGTGGAGCTACCAGTGCCCACACTACATATGTTCGTTTTCTTCTGACTTACCATGGCCTCTGATTCAACTGGTTTTGCAAGGCTAATGTAGGAAAAAATGAAACAAGCTCCGAGCAACAGGATCAGCACTGCTGCAACAGATTTATGGGTCGCTGCCAGGCATCTATTGGATACTGCTGATGAGTGGCACATTTCTCACTTATCTCTTCATGCCACAAGGTATTTTTTTCTTTTCGGATGTATGCGTTTATCAGTTGACCCACTAAAGGGGGAGGAATATGGCTGTCACTCCATGCAATCCATATCTAATTTCCTTTCCGCCACATTTTCCTATTTCTTTCCAAATCTTTGTATTCACTGGATTCCCTTAACCAAAACCAACCCCCTTATTTTTCTTCAAACTACTCTTTCCCATCACCCAGTCCAAACTTTTCCCATCCTCCTTAAGTCACTTTGAGCTTGATCAGTTACCTCTTTCTTGGGGTGATCTGCTCCCTTTCTCCCTCTTGCTCTGTGCCCCCCCTTCTTCATTTGGCTGTTTTATCCCAAAATAATCACATATTCGCCCTCCTTCACTGCCCACAGCCACCTGCTGCTGCCCTTCTGCAGAAACTGAACTTTTACTCTCAGCCCTCAGTAGCACTGCATAGAGTAGAAACTTCCACAAAGCCTCACCAAAAAAACAACACTACTACCCATGCTCCATTCTTATTTTTGAAAAAAGAAACCCCCCCCAAAAAACCACTCTATTTTTTAAATAAATAAATAAATAAATAAATTCACAAAATGTACATATACCACTCGATTGTAATAACACCTCAAAGCAAAAAATTAGAAAAACCCAACAGGAAACTTGTCAGTAAAAAAGACAGTTAAAAAAAACTTTTAAAACATTCAGAGAACTATTACAATCAATAATGAACTAAAAACCAGGTTAAAACACATCCATAGACTTTCAGAAGCAACACACTTGCAATAGGCTTATAAGGCTTCTCCTTCTGATACCAACTTCACTCCTTCTTCAGCCTGTTGCAAATATTAATATTGTGCAGTTTGAAGTGACTGGGAGCATAAGAAATGACTCCTTTTGGAATAAACCATTGTCCAGACCCATAAAAATATTGTTCAAACTTTTACTGGCATAACTCTTTAAAATAAAACAGAATACATTAAATTATATTTCCAAAATATCCATACTGTCTTGTGCTGTCCAGCACAGGCTCAGCATCTTACAAAATATGAAATTCAAACAGACCTATAAGCAAAGGTCTCTCTTTCTCTGCAGCCTGCATTCCAGCCTCCAGGCAGTTTACTCTCCCTTCAGAAGAGCATCATTTTACATCTTCACTCCACTGAGTTTGGGGGGGAAAGACTCAAAGGCAACTCCCTTCAAAATGGAGATTTTGCAACCTAATGTGTCTCACATGATCTAAGGTTACAACACTCACATGTTAGTTACCAAAGAACAATAAGTTAGTTAATTGTTAACTTGGCAAAAGCTCAAAGTGTTCTCCTTGTCTTTAATATAGCCCCATGGAAAAAAATTTTAACCAATAAACATTTAGACATTCTCATTTTAAACTTTTGTTAATGCACATGCATTTTTCATTTGTGTGAATTAAATCTATCTTACTTAACACAACCCAATTCTCTCCTCTGTTTAGTTTTAGCCAATGTCTGTCCCACACACGTACCACCCCATCTATCGCTGTGAGAAGGTTTATTGCATCCTAGCTTTGCTACCTATTTCTATGCATGCTTTTAGAATTAATTGCTTGTACGAGTAGTTTTAATACTTTTCTTAATTTTATTTTTTAAAAAATAATTTTTATTAACCTACCAATCAGATCAAATCAAATCACATCACATCACATAAATTCCGAATTACAAAGCCGAATTTTAAATTTTTGTTGGGGGTACCCATATTTCAAGTTCCGAAGGGGATTCCAATCATCTTCTTGCTGCTGCATTAATGTCCACAAATCTGTCCAAATAATGTTCACAATTCTATCCAGTCCTATCTTGCTGTTCCCACATCTCATCTTGTTATTTTCATATATTTTTCTTTTTTCTTTGTGATCTCTTCTGATAATCTCCTTAAACAGGTAAACACAAATTATAATCCTGTGTGGATTATTCCTTTCGTCCAATAACCATATCAAGATGGTTTCCATATATCATCACTTCCATAAATAAAAGCGCTCTTTCCATCATTAATCTTCACAAATCTGTCGCCTTCTTTAGTCCTCTGAGGAGGTTCGCCCGCAATATGAAAACAAATGCATTCCTCCTCCCAGACATAAATCTTTCGACAGAACTTGCCAAAATGGTGACGCTGTTTTTTACTGCGTCATACCAAAGCTCTTGTACTGTTCCATGATCTTCTTAAAACGTGCTTTTGGTTAGAAATTATCTCCACACAGTCTTAAATCTTCCAGCTTAGGTCATTTAAGCGGCATTTCTGACTTGTGGGGGGGGGGTTATTAGTTAATCACATAGAAGAAAGAAAGGAAAGTTCCCCCCCCATCCAGTCCTGTTGCCGACATACCGAGCCTTGGTGTGTCTTCTCATGATATATTCCTGTTTATCCGACCCGTCTTCTTTCTCAGAGATCCCTTCAATTAGCAGTCTTTACTCCCCATTCTTCCTTGAAATATGTGCATTTACTTCTTCCTAATTGTTTCTTTTGAAGTTGCTGCAGCTAGTGGCGCGAATCAGAGACAGCGTCCAGGAGAGCCGAAATCCACACAAGGGCTTTCTGCCTAGTGCCCCCACCCCCTCAAGTTCGGGGGTGGTATATATGGGCACAGCAGGCAAGGGCAGTCCCCCCCATTCCCTTGGGGGGGGCAGGGAGGCTGTTTACTCCCATCACAGCCTCTTAATTACCTCATGTGGGTCGGAGAGATGTTATTGTCAGCCATCTTCCAATGCGCCCCTAGTGGCCCCCCTAATACTTTTCTTAATTTTAAACTCTTCTAAGCCTACCATTGTTAGTGTATAGCTTATGAAACTTCCACGCATTGATTCCATTTCATGGAAATTCACACAAAGTGCCTTCATTTTCAAATGCACCATGTTCTGAAGGGTGCTATGGGCATGCAGTTTTACTGCTTCGTGTAGCCTGATACCCCTTGTGGGCTCTTTTGACCATGAACTTGGCTGTGATCTGGAATTTGGCACCTCGGGGTTAATTAGCCAAGGACAACAAATATTAAGTCTGAATCAATTGTAATGTAAGACTCAGGTAATGTTATTGTATTGTATCAAGTAATCTTGTATTGTAGCATATTTATTAAAATATGCTAACATGATCTATTTTAGGAGTTTGGGGGTGGGGTGGGAGAGAAGGCATTTTCCAAACTTTGTTGGGGAAAGGGAGGTCAACCACACAATTTTTCCAGGGCTGTGACTCAGAAGAACAACACGTGTAAACATGGGGAGGGGGGAACCTTATTGCATTCTCTAATTTTAGTTCCTCTCCTTGTCAGTGCCGTCTTGCCATAAGCACAAACATGATAGGTTACCATAAAAATAGACACGGACTTGCATATATTTGTACCATCTCCATTAATGCTGCAACACTTTTGACGCTGACTGATGATTCCACCAAAGGTGGATTTGACCCCAACAGTTTTTAAAAGGTGGAAGAATTTGAGCAGATTAAAATATATGCTGGCAAATTGTTGACATTAGCTTCCTCAGTTAAATGGGAGAAACATGCTAAACACACAATTAGTTGATTCCAGACCAGGAACTTAAGAAGCTGCCCTAACCTGAGTCAGACTATTAGCCCATCTAGCTCAGAGATTGGCAGCAGCTCCCTAGGGTTTCCCCCCGGTTCTAGTACCTGGATAGGATGGGGATTGAACCTAGGACCCTTTGCATGCAAAGTGTGTGTTGTACCTCTGAGCTACATATTTCCAGGCATCTCATAGTGTTACCATATCCCATTATCACAGTTTTGCAATGTGGCATTATTGTGGCATCATTATATGGACTGCTTGTTTGGCTAGACTCATACAATCAGCACACAAAGAATCCTTTATTTGTTTTTGTTTTTAAATGGTGCCAAAATAACTTCCAGGTGAACAACAGGAGGGTTTGGGGGCATTTTTCATGCTGAAAATGTTCACACGGGAGGCATTCAGCCCTGCATCAAGCAGAATGGAACAGATACTGGTACATATCAGTCAGTCCTTCCTTTTCAGATTATCTTAAAACAAAACTACATTTGCATTCTGCCTTTCTTCCATCATGGTACTCAAGACCTGTGGGCCTGATACTCAGTGTGGTAATGCCACCATTA